CCAAACGGCCAACCCATAATGCGAATTTGTTGATGAAAAGCAAACATACTTGAATTGAATGTACAGTGCACAGGTATGCTATATGTATACTAAAGAAAATGAACTTATAAAATCATATACCTGTCAAACGAGGTTGACTTCCAGACAAAATCAACAACAAAATTGTGAGTACAATCAGTCGGAACTCCTGCATTGCTCTTCAACTCGATGGCCACCTCATCTCCATAGTTATCTGCAACCTTAATGACGTGTCCAACCCCAGACCATGGTTTATGCATTTCCCCGAGGTACCTCAATCGCAACTCGTCTCCCTGCATAAGCTTCATCTCTAAAAGTACAAAAGGAATATAATTTTTACATCATTGTTATATAAACCATGATTATGAGTAAAATGGTTTTGTAACCATTCCATATTTACTTTTTGGAAGATGTGTAAAATTGAGGAGATTAGGATTAAGACGAAATCTGTAAAATAGACAGAATTTGAGAGAAGATTAAGGCAAAATGTGTAAAATAGGCAGAAATTAAGAGAAGATTAAGGCAAAATGTGTAAAATAGGCAGAAATTAAGAGAAGATTAAGGCAAAATGTGTAAAATAGGCAGAAATTAAGAGAAGATTAAGACAAAATGTGTAAAATAGACAGAAATTAAGAGAGGATTAAGGCAAAATATGTAAAATAGGCAGAAATTAAGAGAAGATTAAGATTAATGCGAAATAAAATAGGCAGAAATTGAGAGAAGATTAAGAGAGACGATTAATTCAAAATGTATAAGATAGGCAGGAACTGTAAAAAGATTAAGGAATAGGTAAAAAATTGACAAAAAAGATTGAGATTTTAATCAAGGCATATCAAGTTAATTATTTACATGCAATGTGTGTTGTTATCAATAAGTGTATGTTATTTTATGAGGTCGTATTACATTATCAACATGACTCCAGTTTTATGACATTTATCATGAATATTTTAAATCAATGTGAACATTATACTGAATGGCATGTACATATTTCATTGTAAGAGCTGTACTCGCACAATCAATGGACTAGAAAATAAATATGATTTTTTGTATAATTTGAAACTTGGGATAACTTAAAAAATATTTTATGCAGTGAATTAATTGCCTTTAATATTGAAATAAGAACAAGTAATTTGGAACTGTTTTTTATTTTAGAATTTTTTAATTTTTTTCAACTTTTCAGAAAAGAAAGTTTATGTCCAAGGCTATAAGTCATTTACATTTCATCAGATTTTTGTTTAACATTAGTGGATGTAATACGATAAAAACTTAATGGAACTAAAACCAATTTAAAAGATTCTTTCCTTACTTTGTTTTTCTTGGTGATTATATTTTCTTTTCATAACATTGACCAAAAATAATGTTTAAAAGGAGAAAATAAATTTACTATAAAAAAATTCAAATGTGTGCAAAATTTCAATACAATTTCAACACACCTTCATTCGCCTTTGAGAAGTTGAAATAGGCAATCCTTTTCTTATTCAGTCCAACATCCCAACGCACAACAATATTATCCTGAGTTTGTGATTCCTTCAATTTCTTATCGTAATCAGCTTCAAGTTTCACAAGTGGCCCAAAGATGTTCTGGTATTGGTAAGCATCTTCATATCGCAGGAGGACTTGAGCTGGTTCCTCATCAACGCCGGGCTTTTCAAGATCTTCAAGCTTGGCCGTTGGATTATCCTTAAGGAAAAATAAATGTTTTTCACAACAAATATAGTTCCAGAACATTCAATTTTCATTTTTGTTATACTGGTTACTCGAGAGTCAACAATGGTACACTGTATACCTTCAAAGTAGTGAACAAATGTACAAGAGTGACTGAGAACCTCTAAATGAGTCATCAACAATGTTTTCAACTGTGGTCAAATATACACCCATATAAGGTGTCATGGCCACAAATTTGTACATTGTTATTATGTTTTAATGAATAAATAAATATTTTTTCAAAAAAAACATTGTCAATTTTACACCTCCAGAAGAGTATATAATTGCAAATTGTACAACTCTGACTGGGTCAATGACCTACCTTCCAGAGTTCTTCAAGTTTATTGATCTGCTGTGCAGAGATTTGACGACCTCTCAGTTGCTCATGCTCCGATGGAACCTTCACTAACCATGTCAGAAACTGACGATCTTGAATCAAAGGCTGCCACTGACTTGGGTCCCTAAATAAATTCAATATATAAATCTTTAAGTTTACCTATGTCAACTCTTTGTTCTTCAAAATAAAACAAATCAAATAGGTGCATGGGCAGGTGAATATGAATTCCCAATAAATAAATGTCTGATATTTTTTCCAGAAATGTTTCATAATATGGATACATCTCCAATTTTCTTAAATTCACAGTAGGCAGCTATGGATTGAACTCTTCTACTGATTCCTTGGTTCCAGCTATCCGGTTCTTAAAAGAGGAACAAAGAGAAATTTTCCAGGACTAAATATTAGTGATCTTATATGTTCAAAAGTCTTATAAGGTTATATCAAGCTTTCTTATATATTTGAACTTACCAATTCATATCTTTCAAATTGCTCTGCGTGGCGCAAGGCTGTCTGCACAGTAAGACGACAACAGAGTCTGCCTTGGCTGGGATGAAACCTAACAGGAACACATTACGACAACCGCAGTTATAGCACTCCAAAATGGTTTCCCCAAGTGGCCCATCCTTGTGAAGTGTAACTTCCTTCGCTTTGGCTCTCACAAGATGGTTTATAATGTGACTGCGAAAACAAAAAATGAATCCCTTAGAGATTTAAACAAACGATAAAATATGTAAAATACCTTAAGTGCAACACTTTTCAGAGTCTAGTGACTTATTTTATGTTTATGAATGTGTAAATGAAACACTGCCTAAAAGAATCACATTTTAGTACGACAAAAGTTGTACTATTTGTACAGGTTTTTACTGCAGTTATTTTTAAGGACATACCTCCCAGATGTATTTCCTCTTCCGTTACAGAACCACTTTTTCGTCATGTTACAAAACACAACACACGCTGGATCATGGATCCCGCAGTATCTGAAAAACAATGCATTGCATGATATTTATGAATTTTTATAATCAATTATTAATATTTATTGAGGACACCAGTACAGATGGCAGACTCTGCATTAAGCATTCAATACACTTGTGTACTGTAGTTTAACACTAACACGCAAAATGCCATCACCTGCCATTTGTTACAGACACTGCCGAACACTGATGACAACCTCCGTCCACAAAAAAAGTTGGAGACTATCACAATGTCACCATACATGTATCTGGCAGAATAATGAAGTAATAAAATATGTGATTGTCGTCTACAAAAAAAGTAAAACTCTCCATTATAAATCTGGAATATCTATTAACCCTCAATTAATAATTAAGGTATATTGATGCACTTAGTGTGCTAAACATAAAGATGTACATTCAGATACAGAATGGGTTATGTGTACCTGAAATTGGGAAGCCATTAAGGAAGTTACATATGTTCAGAAAATCTAATGGCTTCCTAATTGAAGCACCATGTAAATTTCAGGTTCATATAACTCATTTTTTACATGATTCACAGCTTTTAGTTTTGCAAAAAGAGTGCATATATATTCACTTTTGTACAGAGTACAAAAAATGTACCTAGATTATTAGTCGAGGGTGAGGGTGATCTAGGTACATTTTTGTACTCTGTACAAAAGTGAATGATGTCGATGTATATGTTATTTATTCCGGAAAATAACATGAGACTCCTGATAGGAAGCCATTAAAGTGTCTGAACATACGGCATTGCCTTAAACTTCTTGACATGCAGAATCTAAACCTAAAGACATTTAAGTTATTCTTACGAGCAAGCATGCTTCGGCAAGTCCTTCATATAGAAAGCTTCCTCGTCATCTTCTTCAAACGTCAGCTCACCAACTCCTTGCGTGATAGTGGCAGGATCTTTATCCAATCCATTTTGAAGCGGAATTTCACCATTGACTTGCGACTGAAAAGAAAAGGCAGTGGGGTATTGGAAACCAATCTCTGGAGAAGTAAATAAACACAAATCCCATTGAATAGATTTCTGAATCTTCGGTACACATTTACAGATTTTATTTGATTCATTCGGAACATGTGTTGTGAAGTTCTTACCAAACATTTCTGGGAAACCCAGATGTTCTATCCTCGGATTACGATAAAATATGGTTGTTTATGCATAAAAATGTGTTAATTTACCTGACTCTGTGTCTGTATGCCATCATCTAGCTGCGATGCCTGAGTCTGAGACTGAGTTTGGGACGGGAGGGTAAAATCTGTGAAGTTAAATTCCGACCCTTGAGTATCAGCTCCCAACAGGTCCGTTTCATCGGTGTCCAAAAATGTGAGAGTTTGAGAGCTCGGCCCGTACGCATCTACACTCATTTTCACGCTTAATTTTAGTTCTAACTATGCCTAAGAATGTTCACTTTCAAATTATAATACTTGTGTTATTTCACATTGTTTGACTTTCGTGAAAAGTGAGCTCAAAGTGTGCGTTTTCCAGCAACGACACGACTCTCCATCTTCCTAGTGTGTTCTACGTCACAAGTACACACGTTTCGTTCACCTCCAGGTCATAGCACAAATTGTGATGACGTAGTTCACAAGGCTTCTAAAGTTGGAAAGTTGAGAGAAAAGTTGAATTCTCTGTTGAATATCGGATACGTTTTCAGTGCTTTAGGTAACGTGAATTTAATCTTTAATCAACCGATCTTTACAATCGACAATAAAAGATTATTTTCATTTAAAAAAATTACAATTTGGGTGTCAAATAATCACACAGAGTTGAATTGAAAAGTCGAAGAATTTCTGCACAGCTGTTGAATTTATTTCACTTTCAGAAAAAATCGAAAGTGAAAGTAGATCTCCCCAGATGTGTAACTAAAACAAGTAACATATGCTTTGTGAAAAAAATATTATTCATGATATTTATGATTACTTTGTTATATTTCAGATCTCGAATTATTAGACCCACAATGGATGTAATTGTCACATGTTTGTAAAAACCTGTCGTTCAAAAGGAGGAGGTAGATTATCTCGTCTGTGTAAAATCCAGATCATCGAATTTATACGCACCATGAGCAACTTCCAGGTGAATACCCAGTTATTACAGCAGGCGATGCAATTGATCCAACAGCGACAACAGGGTGCACTGCCAAACTATACTCTCACGCAGTCAAATCAGCAGTCATATAGGTTACCTCAACAGAACTTTACTGTGGCACCCGGTAATTTGGACATTAACTCTCCACATAATAGAAGTGACTATTTGTCGCAGAATCAAAGTGAATTCACAGGCAACCAGCGTTCACACCATCATCCATATGATCGTCCCCAACGAATATCTCCGCCAACTCCCAATCCAAGAGGCTCGTATGGAGTCAACTATCAAGCACAGTACAACTTTCATGAACGAACACTCTTACAGGCACCACGGCGACAAAACCAACAATATACACCAGGCACTTCTGTGGGCTTTTCTACATCCTCAGATCTTTATGCCACTCGTCCAAAGGGAAGGAATCTTGATAGTTTAACCAGTAGAAGTCGCCAGTACCCAATAAGTCCACCTGCAGTTGATGTTCGCTCCAATATCAAAGATACAATCTTTGGTCAATTAGGAGAGGGAGAGAGAAAGTCCCAGATTACACCACCTAACACAAATCCAATTGCAAGCCAAGGAGTCAAGTGAGTTTCTGCAAAAAAGGAATTAATAGGGGGAGGGAGGATTTTAAATTACAGTCATTTAAAAGTAACGGAGAAATATTGTCCCAAAATTGTCTTGTTCTTCATGTTTCAAAACAAACTATAAATGATCAGAGTTGAAAGCTTTCAGTTTCATTGCTGTTAAATCACAGACTAATATGACAAATTGTTGTAATTCTTTTTTCCTGAGAGGAGGGGGGTCCATGATAAACTTTTCTTAACTGAATAATATTTTCATAACATGACAAATGGGTTTAAAGTAAATACCATAATTCTCTCTAATGTGCACACAATGCAGTTTCCAAATTGAAATTTAAAAGGGTAAGATATTGAGATTGCCGATAACTTTGTTGATATCACTAAGGTTTATATACTGCACTTTACAACTCCTGTATTTCTTTCTCTGCATAAAATATAATCCTCAATGGATATCTTGTGTAAGAAATGAAAACTAATGCATTAAACTTTGTGTTTTCTTGAGACCATATTCAACATAAAAGTTGCATTTTGTGCCCATTGAAATTGACTGACTCATTGTCCTTTTTATGATCCAGTGATCTCCCCAGCATTAAAGCAAGTGGTCGCTGCACCAGCTGCGCAGCACCCACCTGAGATTTTGAAAACAGACTTGCACCCACTTGAAAATTCATTTGCACCCACTTAAAAATGAGAGAAATCATGAAAAATGGGCATTTTTTGACCAATTTTGGTCTGAATTGTGAAAATGAGAACGTCACACCCAAATGAGAAAAAATCCTGTGGAGAACACTGTGATCTCTTACGAATTGCTTTTTGTAGACGAACACTTGATGCCAGTGGAAGTCCAGCCAGAAAGAGGGCAAGAGAAGACAACGTTGAAACTGACAGAGAGAAAGCATATTTAAGACAGTTAATAGAACTGAATGAGATCAAAGAAGGAGATAAGGTAATATATGGGTTGTACCCAGAATGCATCTATTCCACGAGTACGTATGTAGACATCTTGATTTAAAGAAAAAAGATTGAATTTTGCATTATAGTGACATTGCACTGTTTAGATAAATCTTACACCTAAGAACCAAATTGTTAAAAAATCCCAACAGATTTCTCTATACTGTACATCTATTCATTGGGTGATTTATTAGTTTTTTTTCTTATGAAAAATAAATCTGCAGATTTGTTGAATTTTCTAACATAAATCACCTCCCCTCTTTTTATTTTGTCAGATTTACTGCCTTGGAATTACATCGTTAAATCACTCAAATACGATTTATCAAACCATTGAAAGAACATCCAAAGTACAACTAGAATAATTGATTTTCCAGAATTCTCAGATTATATGGACGTACTTCGTGTCAAAGCAACAGACTGAAGCTATGTATAATAGCAAAATGACACTTAGGCAAGCTCTATATGAAGTACTGAAAGGAGTGTTCCCATGTAAGTACCTCTGAACTCACATAGAAATCTATTGGCATGTCTTAAAGTTAACATTTGCTTTCGGTGTCATATTGGTGACATATTGTTATAGTCTCCAATGTTTTTGTGGACATTGGTCGGCATTTGGTGATTGGTGTTCGATGGTTGGCATTTGGTGTATGTAACAAATGTTAGGTGGTGACAATTCGCATGTTGATGTCAGCCTTCTTGTCTGCATATTTTCAGACAGCTTGGTTGACTGATGTATAATTTTCAGTACAGGGATATTTTAGTTTTGAAAATGTAGCCCGCTGGTTTTTTTGGACATTTTTGTAAAGGTGTCATAAATGTTATTTTGATTATTTAAACCACCTTAATCCTTGCTTATTCCATGGTCTACTTTTTTGTTTTGAATTTCACATTTTTTGAAATATGACCAATTTCATTTTTAGACTGTGGGGTTTATATAGTTGGGTCGTCCATGAATGGATTCGGCAACAATACCAGCGACTGTGATATGTGTCTCATGTTGACCAAAAAAGAGGTAAGGAATATTGGCTTTTTGCACTATGACAAAATATACATGAACATTGAACATACTCATCATAAGTTAAAACCTGTCAAGTGAAACACCTCAAAATATGAACATTTTCCATGTTCTTTTTTTATTCATAGAAAAAAACATCCATGTTCTGTGATATATTAACAATACATAATATGAACCTCAAATGGAATACTGTGTACAATGGAATACTAATAGCCTATTAGTATTCCATTGTATAATATTTTGAAGTGCCAAAGGTGCTTCATTTTCACAGGTAGTATTTGTCAATAGACTGAATGCCAATGTGTTGAATTGTGACAATCATGTTTTCATCTATTATGCATTATAGTTCCCTCTTGGCAATGAACTTGGAAAAAAGCTTGCTTATGGGTCATGGACAGAATGTCAATGTGTTGAATTGTGACAATCATGTTTTCATCTATTATGCATAATAGTTCCCTCTTGGCAATGAACTTGGAAAAAAGCTTGCTTATGGGTCATGGACAGAATGCCAATTCGTGAATTGCGGCAATCATGTTTTCATCTATTATGCATAATAGTTCCCTCATGGCAATGAACTTGGAAAAAAGCTTGCTTATGGGTCATGGACAGAATGCCAATTCGTGAATTGCGGCAATCATGTGTTCATCTATTATGCATAATAGTTCCCTCATGGCAATGAACTTGGAAAAAAGCTTGCTTATGGGTCATGGACTTAATGCCAATGTGTTGAATTGTGACAATCATGTTTTCATCTATTCTGCATAATAATTCCCTCTTGGCAATGAACTTGGAAAAAAGCTTGCATAATAGTTTTTAGGAAAGGGACATGGTTTTAAACTCAAAGCTGCCTGACTCCCAATGGCAATCATTTTTCACTCTGGCAATGAACTTGGAAAAACTAGATGCCCATTGGGCAATGTACTGAATGCCAATATGGTATATTGTGAATTCATGTTTTCATCCATAGTTGTGAACCCTGAAAAGGAATGTATTTCATTGATTTCTTTGTAGATCGATCAGAAAGTGGAAGCCACAGAACTGCTTAGATTAGTCCAAAAAGCATTTCGCAAACTAAGTAAGTAGAACCATTATATTGTATACTGTAAATTACTATAATATATATATTGTATACTGTAAATTACTATAATTTGACAACCATTTTAATTTGGCGGATGGATAGAAACTGCCAAATTAGTCTCCGCCAATTTTTTTAAAAGGAAATTCCTGAGGATTTTTGTCCAGTGCCTTTTTCATGTGTTACCTTGCACGTAATAACATTGATGAAAATCTTGACTGAATCATGGATAAAATGTCAATTTTAAACGACTTCCGAAGATCTTCAGAGTTCCTGCTGGTTTAGATAAAACAATCTGATACCAGGAGAGATAAAATTGACAAATTAGATAGCCGTCAAAATTTCAAAATTTGTCCAATCGGCCATGGGCTTTCAACTAGAAGGGTAGGCAACTTCCCATATTTCATACATAAGCATTGCCTTTGGCTTTTCAAAATTGGAGAATGTACACATTCCAAGAAAATCTTATTTCGTCCTTTTTATGGATGATTTAAAGAAATAACTCAAAAATAAAAACATGATCATCTACATACATGTTGATAATTTAATAAAAAATGGAATTCATTGTAATTATGACAATACAGAAAGTGAACATTTTCCCACAAATTATGTTTTTATTGGAATGTGTTCTTGAATAATTACCCACAATGCAATACTCGAAGAGAACATCTTGATACCTCTTATTCTTATTGGTCTTTTTTGTTCACTTTTACATGAGATTGAATATATTTTATGCTTTAATCATATTAAAAATTGATTTTTATTCAAAATAATACTAAAACATATACATTTATCTAATACTTTTTGAAATATTAGCACAAAAGGGAAGCATGGCATTGCTCATTTTGAAGGTCTCATGTTATTACACAGAGTTGCATACCCTTCTAATTGAAAGCCCATGAATCCGCCAAGAGCTAGGGTTGCTACAAAACAGAATATATTGAAATAAGGTCAAAATGGGCCTAAAATATGAGGGTTTAAATTCTAAAATGTTGGGAAATTCTGTACCTAAATGATCAAGGGGCCTAATTATAATGTTACCAAAAATATATATGTAAGAATGTGGAGGCTAGGAGAAGAAACAAATTCTGAATTTTTTTAACCTGAATATCCTTTTGAAAAGTATTATACTATAAATGTGTTGCAATTGCAATCATTTCATGCTAATCTTCATTCCATCAATATGTCTGTTAACAATAAGTGGTAAAAAACATCTGTTGAAACAGGTCCAAAATGCAATCAACACTCTAAATTGCAGATGATTTCCTAACATCAAAATTTATTTTATTTTATATTAATTTTTTATTTTACTTGTAGGTTTTATCAAAGAGCTACAGCTGATTAAAGCCAAAGTTCCAATTATAAAATTCACAGATAAAATAAGGTAAGTTATTAATTTGATCATAATAACATTAATAAAAATAATAAATAAAATTAATCAAGAAGATTTGATTTACATGACTTTTAAAAATGATTGATTTAAAAAGATCACAAACAGCTTTTATTCATAACCAGTTAAAAAGTGAAACTTAAATTTTTTATGGAAAAAATGTCTTTATAAAGGGTAATGCAAGACTAAATTTTTGAGTTACCCTGTATTTTTGTGTTTATTTCACCTTTCTATATTTGCCTTATATGTGCAGTGAGGTTGAAGTTGATCTTAACGTGAATAATGCGGCAGGGATCAGAAACACTCACCTCCTCTGTGCATACTCCAGAAGTAAGTTGCAAAATTATTATCTTCCTTTGGATATATGCATCAAAAGTATACTAAGTCTGTAAGTACATATTCCAGAATGAGAGTTATACAAAAATGTCTTATTCTGTATCTGCATAATTTTTCTATAAGGATTCATGGAATTTTTGATATTTATAATTCAATAGAGTAAAATGTGCTACAATGTTCAGGGACTTCTTTATATATTATTGCCCATTTGTCTAAATATCGATGCTCCAAAATCGCATCCTCCTAAGCATGTATCCAGAATCCGTACCTCCTTCTTCCCCCTGCTATAACCAATATGGAAGCGCCCGATTAAACTGAATCACGTGATCTAATTATGCGCAATGGCTTATACATGATTTCTGTCGCAAATTCAGATTGCAAAGTCAGATTGCGAGTTCTTAATCGGGGAAATGCTAACTGCTTACTGCAGGGGGTAAAAAGAAAGAATATATTCTGGATTTTGAAGCCCTGTGATTGGAGGATGCAAAATCGTCACAGTTGAATGAATGCCTTACTTTAGCAAACACGTTTACCAGCGATCACAGAAACATCATCATCGTCTCATCACTCTTGACTATGAACTCCCATATAGACAACTTTAAATCAATTGCTTCTTTTCAGTGGATTGGCGTGTTCGTCCTCTGGTGCTATGGATCAAGAAATGGGCTCGTCATCATGACATAAATGACGCCCGTAAAGCAACGATCTCATCCTACTCCCTAGTCTTAATGGTGCTACACTTTTTGCAGTGTAAGTACATTTTTGTTTATATGTACACATTTTACAGTGTAAGTACACTTCAAATGCAGTGTAAGTATGCTGCAAAATGCAAATTGTAAGTACACTTTAAATGCAGTGTAAGAACACTTTAAATGCAGTGTAAGTACACTTCAAATGCAGTGTAAGTACACTTTAAATGCAAATTGTAAGTACACTTTATGCCATGTAAATACAAATTATGTTGTGTAGAGTGTGGAAGTGCAATGGTATATTTGAATGACAAATTCATGTGTTTATGTCACAAAATGATTTTTAAATTTAAAGAATAGGTCCTTTTGAATTTAAATGCAATACCTAGAAAATCATCCAATGCAGGCTATAGCATTCAAAATGTGAGCTTGTCGATGTAAACTTTTTTTCACGGTACTGTTATATTCAGAGTTAGTGACTTCACTTCCTGTAAAGTATTTTGAGCTGGCAGCCATCTTGAAATGGACAGCCATCTTGACAGTACATTTTTGAATAGCCAAGGTTATTGTTTGCTTCTCTTCTTTAGATGCTTGTGACCCGATTGTCTTGCCATGTCTCCAGAAGTTATACCCTGTAAGTTAAGTTATTTTCTCTCTTTAAAATAATAGGTTTACACAGTGGCCTATTTCAGTCATAAATAGGAAACAATGACCTTATGTTTTTGAAGTCTTGTGTTGCTGATAGATAGCTCTAACCTAAAAAAATTCTAATTTTTGTCACCACTCACCGCTGTGACATCACCATTGTCATTTGTACCATAATTAACAAGTTGGACATTAGATTTGATTTGTATGTGCGCACATATGTTTTGACCCTTGGAGAGGCTCATGAAAGATTTTAACATAAAACTTGATACTGGTAAAGATGAAATACCAAATGTAAATATAGTGCAATGTATATATACTTTCTGGAAATTTTAAAGATAGAGCTTACATAATTGTTTCCATCATAATAATATTTCTCTTTTTATGCATTTAAGATTTTGATTTCTATTAGTATATTCTCTTTCCAGGAAAAGTTTCAGGATGAGCAAGATATACGTAAAATATCCCTCAACGATGACTTCCCAACATTCCAAAGTGAGAATAAGGAGACCCTAGCTGAACTTTTTCTTGGCTTCCTAAAATATTACACAGAGGACTTTGAGTAAGTAGTTTGTAGCCTGTCTGTTTTATAAGAGTTTTTACTTTTTTGATAGTATGAGATGACTATTTTATACTATGTTATGTATATCTCCCTTTGTGATATGTGGTTTTTATATGTATTTTGGAGAGTTTTTTGGAGTCGAAGTTTTCCTTTTGCTAAAAGTTTGAACAAGTTTGAATGTTGATATCCATATTTATTATTTTGGATAAATTGCTATGGAGATTCGGGAGCCTGCCTAGCACCAATTTTCCATTAGAAATCCGTGTATGTATTCAATAATTTCGCCATTGGCTAATATAAATGGATCTCTTTGAACATTATAAATATCAAATATCCCTTTATCTAACTTTAGTGCAAGATAAGCGAATGTTTTGTATTTTATGTTTTAGTTATGAGAGAGATGTAGTCAGTGTCCGGTTGGGGAGCACACTACCCAAACGTGTTGCAATGCGGGGAAATGTGCAAATCAGTCCACCGGGGAGTTGGAAATACCTCTGTGTACAGGGTAAATAGATGAACTGATAAATTTCACAGTTTTTCACTAATGATTTTTTGTTTAGATTCTTATATTTCTTGGCAAATTGGCATACTGAAGCACCATAAACAAAGCTCAACCTTGAAACCTGTGTTGTATGTGACATACAGATGCAAGAAATTGATGAATAATACCTAGAACCACCTTTTATTGTGTGACATAGTTTTCACTAGTCATGACATTGCAAACTTGTGTGATCTTACTTTTCAAAGTGGCCTTGAAAATGGAATTTAAGCTCTTCCCATTTTCTTAAGTGAAGCAAAAGCTGAACCCCCATTTTACCCCAAATAGTGCAATCCTTATATGTAGTCCATTTTTACTTAACATTAATTTTCTTGTGATACTTTTCAGAGCCATTCAATCTTTCAAACACTTCAAGATCTGTCTATGACCAATACCAGTACCAGAGGATAACCAGGGTTTTCCGGAACAGTTATCAAAGGTTCAAACACAACAAAGACCTTAATGAAATAATGGATAGACCTTTATAGAACACTCCGATGGAATAGTTATCAAAGGTTCAGCACAACAGAGACCTTAATGAAATAATGGATAGACCTTTATAGAACACTCCGATGGAATAGTTTTCAAAGGTTCAGCAGAACAGAGACTTTTATGAAATTATGGATAGACCCTTATAGAACATTTTTCTGGAATAGTTATCAAAGATTCAGCACAACAGAGACCTTTATAGAACACACTAGGCTAGTGGAATGGTTATCAAAAGGTCATCACAACAGAAACCTCAATGAAATAATGGATATACTGAATTTCAAGTGATGGCTGTGTATTTTGTTCAGTATTTGAGTCAGAAAAAGTCTCTTACTTTTGGAGTAGTAAGTCTTCTACGACTATGATGTCATTGAACAATGCTTCTTTGGATAGCCTTTTAAAGTCCCCGTCTAAAGTTTGAAAATATTTTTTTATCATTCATTTACTATTTGTCAGGACTTAAAAAGTGATTTTAGAGATTTTTGAACAAAAAAAATTTTTTGAAAAAAAAGTTATGAGCATTTCATTTCTCAAATATTCAAATTTCCTGCCATTTTTCAAAAAAAGTTGAAATTTCTTAATCATCAAATATTTCTTAATGCATTTCAAAAAAGATCATCTTTTTAACACCAATGCAAAGATTGAACAAAGGACACACTATTTCAATAATAAAATGCCATATTTAATGGGCCACTTCAATGTTTTAGCATATCAAAAATATTTTGAAACATTAGTGATGTCACTAAGGTACCAATAACTTTTTGAAAAAAATTGAAATTTTTTTTTCGATGTCAATCTTTTTTTAATATGTTAGACTTCATAAAAAACCAATGTTGATTGTCTAACCAGGTTAAAAGGAAGAATAAATTATGTTTTAGATATCATTGTACCATTGGTTTCTATGAGAACTAAAATTTTGAAATGCATTTTTCTCAGAACCATTTTCATGCACTGATAAGTTCATTTCTCGCTTATTTATGAACCGATTTTCTTAATTTTTTCGGCAAAAAACATGGGAGGATGATTGCTATACATTGGTATGAATTATGGCTAATTAGAAGATATGAGTGACCTCTAAAAGTTGGTTTTAAATAAATTCACAAATTTTGGAACAAAAAGTCTATCAAAAAACACTTTTTGAAATTTAAAAAAAAAGTTTCACATATCACACTTTGATAACATTGGGTAAGACTACAATATAAGCCAAAGTGGTTTAAACTTTATATGGGGCCTTTAAGGGTTAAAACATGTACAGCATTAGTATTAAAAACTGGTTAAGAGAAATTTGGCAAAGTTACAAAACAATTTGGAGAGTTAATACTATACTTGTGTATAGTCAAGAAGTCCTATTGCAGTATTGATACTGAGGGAATCAGTTATTTTTTCCCTATAAATATAAATGATTAAATATATTTAATATACAGAGGTACATACCTGTTTTGGGAACATTTATGAATGCTTCAATTTCTGGGCCACATTTTTTTTTAAATGCAGAGGCATATACATAATGGGAACATGTATTTTTCCAATATGGACCCCATATTTGTTGAAAAATGCAAATGGAAGTTATTACTTTTAAATACTTGGCATGTGTTCATTTGAATGTAGGGGTGAAGTGCTGAAAGGTTTAGATTTGGTAATATTAGACTGGGTTGTCCCAAATCTAAGGGATATATGTATTGCTTGATATTTAATGCAGCTGTGATGATGTTTGAATATATATATGTTTATATCTTTATAATTTCTGATTTTTCTTCAGTTTATAATGCAATTCAATATTTAATGTAGTTTTGCCATTGGAATGGGGTCATCAAAAATCATAAAAATACAAAAACAAGTTTAATATATTATACTTTTTGCATATCTGCATAGTATGTAGATTTGTTATGAAAATAAAATGCAATACAATGAATTATTAATTGTTGTTGATTTATGTAAAGTTCAACTATAATAATCTCACCAAAGAAATGAAGCCTTTAAAGTAAACACAGTCATAGGTCGTTTCTCAGAAGTACTCATTACTCAGAAGTACCTTTTCTGTAATACAAATGACTAGAGTGAATCAATATGAACGTTGACTTGGTCAACGGAAGGATGCTGACAGTGGTCTGTGTATTTACAAGGTCGACACTTTTGTCTTCTATGGTTTGGGGTTTTGTTTCATACACGTGATCTTTCAATTTTTCAAGTACTCACGCGTGGTACTTTCACTGATAAAAATCTGAAGGGTTCGTGTGAGGCGACAATATGATCTACTTTACCCGTAGTATCCAGTTTTACCTGCTTAGGAATGGAATGGAAGTCCATAAAAATGTGACTGGGTTATTTAAAAATGAACGAATGTGACAAATTATGCTAACAAACATGCACATTCATCTGAATGACAAGTGTTTTGAGAGTGACAAAATAGTAATCAAGCAATAGAACATAACAAACCATTTGTTAGCTGACAAAATATAACAAGTATTTTAAATGTGACAAATGACAATTTTGGAAAGCATGCCCATGGAACAAGTGATCATACTCTAAAGTTTCCATGTCATATAAGCCCGGTTTAATTCAAATATCGAAGTATTACGTCAACTTTCATGTCGTTAATTGCCAGGATGAAAACTAAAAATCTCAAAATCGACACTTTCCGTCCGCCATCTTAAATACGAAGGTGACGGCTGTAACCTCCCGCGCAACCTCCGCTTGATACCGACCAGTGATACTTGAGAAATGTTTATGAACCTTGTGTCTGCTAGAAAATTTCAAAAGTTAATTTGAAGTTAGCATAAATTGTTTTCTAGACCAGGATGTTAAAAACTGAAATTCAACATTTTTAACTTTTATGACCTCTAAAAATATGTTTACGTAGATGAGCACAACGCCTTTATGAAGTATTATCGGATGAGTGGGCACCTTCTATTTAAAAAAAACATTGAATACATAGTATCTATTCGGGAATGCTCAGTCTATAGATGAAGATTACATGATTTTTGTCATCGTTTTATGTTAGTCTCAGATACTAGCAAGTGAAAACACTGAAGGACTTCGTTTGTTTATGACTTACATAATCAAGTATATTTAAGTTTAATATCCAACAATATATTGCTACAAAAGTATATATTGCTTCCGAAGTCTACATCGCTGCGACACGAAACACATGCTCGTGGGGACTGTACATCCAACAATGGAATCTTTTCTGATGAAGGTACAGTAAAACCTGTCTAATCCGAACGCCATTGGGACCGGATAAAAGCGTTCATATTAAGAGGTGTTCACATTTCGAGGTTTTGCATCCGCAATAATCCGGATTCTGAAGAAATGTGAACACATTCTCGGTAAATATTTATAGTTTTTTTACCACATAGCTTATGGCATTCCAGAATTTTGAAAATTTGATTCAAATGAATCTAATCATGCTGGAAAGCCCCATTATAATTGAGACCATTCTAGATTATTTCCCAAAGTTTTGATATCATGACAAAATTTGAGCAATGTTGTATAAAACATCAGAAATTTTATGAAAAGTGTTCAGATTAGACAGGTGAATTTTTCAAATATGACTGTTCACTGTTCAAATTTCAAGATTTTTTTAACATGGGAGTCAATGGTGCGTTTCTCCTACTCATTTATTAGTAGATCAGTATTGATTCTATCTAACACCTCATTAATATATAGACCTATAGTCAATGTAAAATTGATTCAATCAGTACATTTGAGTAAATAAATCATTTATATTATTCTATTGATTCTGTCTGACTGACATCTTCCTTTCTTATAGTCAATGTATCAATTGATACGATAGTGTAAACAATACATTTTATTCAATTGATTCGATGTAACATCATCCTTTCTTATAGTTCCCCACAAGTTGAATAGCCAAATAATGTTAAGGTACAGCTGGAAAGTAACATTTTGGTAAAAAATTGCTATACCTGCACATGTTATTTTCTGGTACAAAATTAAGTATGAAGGCATGTGTCAATTTCCTTGCTTTTTCAGGAAAGTATCATTACATTGTCTTCTTTTAGAATATCTGGTAGGAGTTCAATGGGAACTCCAGGTAATTCCGATATTTCACACTTTCTATTTTTCCAAATTTTCTTTCAAAGTTTTCAGACAACACAGGAACTACCATTGACCTGTTTCCAGGTTTACTAAAAATAGACAGTGTAATGATCCTTTCTTGAAAAAAGCAAGGAAATACACACATGACTTCATACTTATTTTGTACCAGAAAATAACATGTGCAGGTATAGCAATTTTTACCAAAATGTTACTTTCCAGCTGAACCTTAAACATTTTTTCAGAATGCGTTATTGAAGGCCCTTGTAATGATGATAGTACATGTACATCAAATCACCAACGAAACATCCGACGTCACGACTCTGAACCTGTCCTTCAGAAAGTTGACAAAGGTGACTAATGGCTCGTTCGATATGTTTCCTAATCTAAGAAAGATTACTCTGAGTAACAATGATATTTCTAAGCTAGAACCTGGAGCTTTTTCTGGTTTACATGCACTGGAGGAAATAGAATTAGATTACAACAAACTTGACACATTACCAGATGGAGTTTTCGGTGGATTGACATCTTTGTCACATCTTGACCTTGGTAACAATAAACTCAGAACATTGCAAAATGGAATATTCAATAGCCTAACAAACTTGAAAAGTCTTAGTCTACATCTTAATGAAATATCAGAACTTCCAGATGGAATATTCAATAACCTGACATCCTTGAAACGACTTGTCCTATCTAGAAATAAAATATCAATACTTCCTGGTCAAATATTTCAATCCATGACATCCTTAACATCGCTTTCCCTATCTTACAATGGAATAGCAGTGCTTCCAGATAAGTTATTCCAAAGCCTGACATCATTGACATCTCTTGGACTCTCTTATAATAATGTATCAATGCTTCCAGATAAAATATTTCAAAGCCTGACATCCTTGACATCTCTATACATTGAAGGCAATAAGCTAAGAGATATCGCGCCTGGTGTGTTTAAAAACCTTAAAAGGCTTTCTGGTCTCAATCTTATGAACAACCATCTTGTAGAGGTGCCTACTGATATATGTCTGTTTTTGCCACGGCTGGTGAGGATATATTTGATTGGAAATAACATATCTTCTATACAACCATCGTGGCACTTAGAGTATATTGATGCAATAAGGAAGAGTGACTTTTGCCTCAATGTAAATTCCACTATGGCCTCTTCATTTTCACTTTCAACAACAGACGGTAATGCTAACGAAACAGAGCGCTCAACGCAAATAATACAACTTTCTTCCACAACCAAAATATTTACCCAAACTGCACAAACATCTCCACAAATTTCACAAACACCTGTTCAAATGACACCGAGAGCTACTGAAATGATACATGAACTTAATACGACGAATAAACCATCCATTCAATCGACACAGTTGCCTGCAGAGGCAAATACTACTTTTGTACACCCATTGAATGCTTCACAAACATCTCCACAAATTACACAAACACCAACTCAAATGACACAGAGATCTAATCAAATGACACAAACACCAACTCAAATGACACAGAGATCTAATCAAATGACACAGGCACTTAATGGGACGAATAAACTATATATTCAAACAACACAGTTGTCTGTAGAGGAAAATCCTTACTTTGTACACCCATCGAATGATTCATTAGTTGGTTGGTTAATTGGTTTGACATGTGGAATTGCAGCATTATTTCTGTTGGTAATAATCCATGCAGCATCGTTTGTGTTACATTTAAGAAAAGAAAAACAACAAATCAGAATGCTGTTATATGAATACCAGTCGAAACTTTGATAAATAGTGCTATGCTACGATATGTTGCTGCTTGCCTTTCAACTCATACTGTCAGTTTGTCTTGATGGTACCAACAATTACATTCCCTTGACACCCCAATAGCCAACAATAATGTAACATGTTTTCAAAAGGAAATTACCCATAGCCTGAATAAATGCAAAGGTTGCTATTCATAGGCTTTTGGAAATTATTGTATACGAATAAATATAGCACGAAGTAACAATAATGATCTATTATAGGTTTTAAAAAGGAAATTGCCCACAGCCTGAATAAACGCAAAGGCTGCTATTCATAGGCTTTTGTAAACTATTTTATACGTATAAATATAGCACGAAGTAACAATAATGATGTATTATAAGTTTTAAAAAGGAAATTACCCATAGCCTGAATAAATAAATGCAAAGGTTGCTATTCATAGGCTTTTGGAAACTATTGTATACGTATAAATATAGCACGAAGTAACAATAATGATGTATTATATATAGGTTTTAAAAAGGAAATTGCTCACAGCATGAATAAATGTAAATGTTGCTATTCATAGGCTTTTGTAAACTATTGTATACGTATAAATATAGGACGAAGTAACAATAATGATGTATTATATGTTTTCAAAAGGAAATTGCCCACAGCCTGAATAAATGTAAAGGTTGCTATTCATAGGCTTTTGGAAACTATTGTATACGTATAAATATAGCACGAAGTAACAATAATGATGTATTATAAGTTTTAAAAAGGAAATTGCCCAAAGCCTGAATAAACGCAAAGGTTGCTATTCATAGGCTTTTGGAAACTATTGTATACGTATAAATATAGCACGAAGTAACAATAATGATGTATTATATATAGGTTTTAAAAAGGAAATTGCTCACAGCATGAATAAATGTTAAGGTTGCTATTCACAGGCGTTTGTGAACTATTTTGTATATAGTTCAAAATAGCAACTATGGTGTATTTTGTTTTAAAACTGTTATACCAAATGTGTATGCTGATATTCTTTGGCGTTTGTGAACTATCTTATATAGTTCAAAATAGCAACTATGGTGTATTTTGTTTTAAAACTGTTATACCAAATGTGTATGCTGATATCCATAGGCGTTTGTGAACTATAACGACTTGTGGCTTATATTGTATCTAGTAAAAATAATATTGGCCTACATATGTTTCAAAACGAGTTTTCCAATGAGGTATTGGGCTTGTGTTAAGTATAAAACACGTTTATGGACCACCATGTATATATTACAACGTGACTTTGATTTGTGTCTCAATATAAAGACTCGCACGTATAGACTATGATTGAGATGAATGTTGAAGACATTATCATTAATGTAATTACAAAACGGATTATCGTTGTGTTAAATGACTAAACTCAGCCAAACCAAATGTGATGACATGAATAAAGGCATTGTATATAGTGTATAGTGAATGTATAATAAAAAATAATTTGGGTAAATGTACAACTGCACGACCCACCACATGTACAGCTAAGACCATCTTATGATCTATACTGTTTGTATATCATACTCAAAAGAATTTACTATAATTTTATGATCTAATCTCACAGGAGAATTAAAGGGGTTGTTACTGTTTGTTATTGAATCACAGAATGGTTGTCACTATTTCTCGTAACTTTTAAATTATCTTTAAGATGATATATCAATATAATAAAATTTATATCATAAGAAGTTTTGCTTTGGTGTTTTTGTTTTCTGACACCCTGTATTTGTAACTTGTTTATACAGATTTTGCTTTCTTGTAGAATACAACATGGATTTTATTACCTTTGAAAGAAAATATTTGTGTCATTCTTATTTAAGGTGTGGATAAAGTCGTTATCTGGTTATATAAAATGATACGTCAAAACAACCTGGGTATATAAACACCCATACCCCCCTTAAAACTAAAACAATTGTATGAAGTAATTGGCTTCTTGAATTGATTTCATCATCTTATCACTCTACTTTATCTTGATTTTGATGTTATTAATTTGAAAAGTTGTATTCTATTCATATATATTAAGTCTCTACTTGTAATATAATTCTGCCCAAACAATCACAAAAATTGTATTTTAGCCTTTTCAGGGTAAAATTAGGTCAACATTCTGCGGTCGTTGATTGGTGGATAAGCATCTGCTTATTAGATAATGAAAATAATTTCTTTTTTTATCAGCAAATATCACTAATTATATATTATTTAAATATTTTTCGTCTTACTTTTAAATCTGGATTTTAATAGAAGGGCACGTGTTACGTGTGTTAAAATAAACTTGAAATAACAGGAGATAAAACAACAAAAAGATTACAAGTATACCTTATCCGGAATTTTTGTCGCAGTTAAAACTAGTCATAACAACTGTTTACTGGTCGATATGCCTAGTAAACTCTTGAATGTTTGACAAACATAGGTAATTTACTGCGAAAATACAATTCTGAAAACATTTTTACGTCCATAGGTCACTGATTTCGTCTTTTCCATTATTGTGTTTTGAAAAGAAGATAATTTACATTTTCGATGTTTTGCAACTAATACACGTATTTGTATGTTGTTAGATTGTTTGGGAAACTGCAACTCTATATCATTAAACCATTTCTTAATTGCTAACATGGAGCCTATAACTTCCTAGAGTAACTTCATTAATTTGTATTGTGTGTATGGTGTTCAGTTACTTCTTGCATCAAAGATATCATTTTCCAAGTTCTGAATTATAGTTTAACCCTAGAAGCCCTAAGATCAAAATAGACACATGAACACCTAAGGGGGGGGGGGGGGGTCAAAAGGGCACCCCTCGAAAAATGTTATTCTTAGAGCTAGGTTGTTCAAACTTTCTCTGCATATACTTCATTCAATTATCTACAACATGGTGTTATAACTTTAACAACTACGATGATGTAAGATTGCGTAATTTTATTCTTAAGACAACATAGAATTAGTGGAATTAGTAAAATTAGTGCTAGTTTTTTCTGATTTTGTTTATTGGAGCTGATGATTACATCATAAAAAATTAATTATAAACAAATTAGTAAAGCTACGACGTTCAAACTTTCCCAAAATATATACTTCATTCAATTATCTGCAACTTAGTGTAATAACGTTAACAACTGTGGTGATATAAGAGTGCGTAATTCTATTCTTAAGACAACAAGTATGGTTGAAATAGTGCTTCCGATTTTGACTATTGGAACTGACGATTACATCATAATAAATCAATTACCCTATGTACGATTTTGCTGATTTTTTTCAGAAAACATTTGTTATATCTGTAGCTTCAGTTACTGAAAATTTGAAGACACTGCCAGATGCCAATGAAAAATTATGGGGAAGAACTTAACAGGGGGGCATCTTGAAAACAAACGGACGGATGGACTCACCGACGGATGGACGGACGGACAAAGACACAAATGGACGGATAGATTGACTGGTGGGTGATTCCTTTGCTAACAACAAAAGGCACAAGTTTAAAGAAAGAAGCTGGAACACATTTTACCAGCTGCATGTAACATTTCCAAAAATTGTTTGTACAAGACATATATACAGCATTTCATATATAAAGAACATGTTTGTAAGCATCAGATGCACAAGTTCTTCAAATGCAACTGAGTTTGTGACGCTCTTGGGAACTAAAAACTGTTCATAATCGTAATTCTTTAAGAAAAAACTCATATTTCACGTCCTCGTGCAGTATGGCAAGTGATTTTAGACGGTCATGTCTTTCACCATAAGTATTTTCTGGGTATAAATACAGTGGCTTTTATTAAAACAATATGTTTTCTTTAAAGTGACGTCCCCATGATAGTAAAATATCAATCCCACTCTCTGAAAAATTATGGATTAGGACCCCACCTTGTCACTTTTTTAAAAATGTAAGGCATATTTTCTAAAAAGAGGATCTTGTTTTTCTCACTTTAAATGTATCAAGAGTTTCTTCTACACTATATTAATAACTTCTGAAAAGGGGATGGGTATTGAAATGCGATAAAGTTAAAAACCACATTTCCCATGTTATTTTCCTATAGAGAAAACTCATGCTATCCATTGTTTTCAGCATGATTTTGGTCATCGAAAATTGATATCTTCATAACTAGACTTTCAATACCATTCTACTTTTGAAGATGTTTTAGACCTCTTGTTGAATAATGTTTTCATGCACTAAAAATCAGAAAAAGAAGATCCTTTTTTGAAACTTAAAAGTGCATTGATCCAATATTACATGTTACATATATGGCGTATACAGTTGGGGACATAAATAAATGACAGGTGGATTTGCTGAAGTGAGGATTTCCCATGTTAAAAATAAGAGAATTTACAAGAGGCCATACATCAGTGGATGAGATTATACAAAATGTAAAATATACAAATTTTAAGGGATATATATCTAGACAATATTGGAAATTATGGGCTTTCAGACCACCATAATTAGGAAATGGTGATCGAAAATCGACCTGTCATTTATTTTTGTCCCCAACTGTACATACATTGTATATTGTATATGGCGTAAATTGTGGTTTCCTTGATTTTTCAAACTAAAATAGAGATGAAGAAAATGATACCACTGCAAAGGATGTTTTCTCTGGATTGGGATGGCATTCCCTGAAAGTTTCAATGACATGGCGCACTGGCCTTACCAGCCACAATGCCTGGGTCACATATGCTCCGATCCATTGGACGGCACCTGGCCGATTGAGTGTTTTGTTCGATATTGTATTCAATTTTGAACAAAATACTCAATCGGCCGGGCGCCATAGTGAAAATCAGAGTAAATGTGACCAAGGCATTAGTTATTAAAAGTAAAGGCCTTAGCATAACTTGACTCTATAAATCTAACTATCCAGACCGTGGTTATAGATGACTTGTAACTTTGAGATTCTGGAGTAACTTTAATTTTGGTACAAATATATATTTAACAAAAAGAAAGCCAATGACCTTCCAAATAAAATATAAATACATGTTTCATTCTTTCATTTTAAAACTAATCTGGTTTAAACCCTTATTCTGCATTGAAATCTTAAATTTTTCTTTCTCATTTTCATTTTACAATTTTCCCAGCTTATAGGCAGGTAAAGGTTTTGAAACATGGACAAGTTCTTGACAGTCGCTGAGCAGTATGTGGTAAGAAACATCCACAAATACACAAATGTTTTTACTAAAAATATATTCTGCATCAACTACATTTACATGTATCTACATTATATACAATAACAATTATGCATACTGAATTTAATAATTCCATGGGCTTTCAACTAGTTGAAAGCCCATGATAATTCACAATGAACTACATCGGGTAAAACCTGCTAACAAAAGACACTCAGGACAGGGTTGATACAACAAAATCCCATTTAGACCATAGGGGAAATGTTTCTTATTCTTCCACAATTATGGTAGAAACTTAAATACGCAGGGTATTCAAAAAATCTCTTTACGCTTTACATAGACTTTGTATTGTAATTGTAAATAGTTAGGTCAACTAAATAGTTAGGTGAACTACATCTGCCACACAGATTTTTGAAAAAGGTAAGGTTATTAATAGCATATATACAGGGTGTTCATAAAATCTCTTTACACTTTACATAGACTTTGTATTGTTATTGTATAGAGACTTTATGGACACCCTGTATATTCAAAAATTCACGTCTCCTGTATGATAACAAAAATGTTCCATTGAAAGATGGCAGCACAGTCAACATTTTTATATGAGTTCCTTCTATGCGGATAACACACTTTGAACATAATTGCAAGTTTTATCAGCAAAATCTTTGCGAAATAAAGGGAGGGGGGGGGGGGGGTAGAGAGTAGCACAGGAGGGGGTGGTTGCCCATAATCTGAGCAAGTGTTGCATTAGGAAAATGAAGTACAGCTGGGGAGGGGCCTTGAGGCAAGACTAAGCTTTATAACTCAATAGACTTATTCACGTTTTAATGGTAGATTGACTTTTGAAAAGAACGAAGGGGAAAATCATATTTCAGATGGTTATATAAAATTTATGCAATTTTTAACTCCCTATATCTGCGAATCAGTCTTAAAATGGTTTAACTTTGTGCTGGACCTTAGTTCCATAAGGACTCCCCCATTAAATACACCTTGGGTGATATCTCAAATGATTTCAAAAGGAACAACTGTACAAAAATATCTCTAAAACATTTATGTAAATATGACTACAAACTAATTTAAAGTACAACAATCAATCTTCAGACTACTACTGATACAACAGGACAATTTCATGATGGCTTGTTTTCAATAAGTTAAATAATTTCCGTCTGCTTTTGCTGATTTATCTGTATTTCTCTGTAAAATTTGAATAAAGTGTCTGATTTTCTTGCATTTCTATACAATTTAGAGTGTTAACTACATGCCTGTTTACTTTATTCCTTGCTAATTCCACTCTTTTTACATTAATTTCATATTTGAAAACATTACCATCATGAAAGTGAGAACATTGGTTTATACAAAATCTCTACTTAGAAATACAAGGTGTCACACAAATCTGGTACAGTCACTCAAAGCAATTTAAAAATTAAATAAAACATGCTCTAAACATCAAGATGTACTGATACTTTTGTTGTTGTTTTTTAAAAACACTAACATAATATCTTAAATTCAAACATAAATAAGAATAATAGAAATTTAAAGATAGCACATATGTTATAATAAGCAAAAACTTAAAATCAAATTTTTGAAAATTTTCAGAAAATTCCTAGGTAACAGATATCATGTGACGCCTTGTATTTCGCGTTGTGTCATACAAGAGTTGATAGTTCATTTGTCCCGCTTTTGTTTGGATCCCACACTGGTGCTCCCGCATTTGCCCGCACCTTCTCTACTCGCCAGAAATATGCACTATGTAATACAGCAACAATGGAATATACAATTCCTAGTCCAAGAATCACTGTTGAAATAATCGCTGATGTTGTCCGAAGCTCCATTAATACAAAGAGAAATACAACTGAAAGAAACAAATAAAACATTAAATATAATTTGAATATTTCTCACATGACAAACTCAAATTCAGCCATCTTTACCAAATAATAAAGTGTAACCATATAGATATATTATATAACATTTATTTTTAATAGTTTAATCTCGCACTGTTTTCAGTAAGTTTTGTCAAAAAGGGTGAAAACACATATCATAATGAATTCATTTGAGAAAAACATTCTAACAATTTTAAGATTGTCCATTTTGTTTTTGTCTCAATAATCAAGAAAGGATTATCTTGCACACATGTAGGTACTTATGCAAGAACCGCTTATTTCTTGCTCCCCCATATAAACCAGATGTCATAAGGATGTCATGGCCAAATACTGACATTCTATTGAAATGTGCTTCAGGATGGGACACATATATTCTAATACCATCCTTAAGACACAATGCCAATATTTGGTATAATATTTCAACAATTTAATTTTAGTTCCCATGTGGTATGTCATGAGTTAAATGAACCAATCAAAAGGGAGATTTTATTCACTTACCTAGTAGAAACAGTGGCACAGAGAGGTAGAAGCCTGCAATTGAGAGAAACCGAGTGTTGGCACATTCCTGCAAGTATTTAAATGCTCTGAAAAGGAAAATAAATCATATTTAAACATTATACATGTACATTGAAACAAAATAAAATCTGGCTGGTTTGGCTTACCATAATACAAAACAACATTACCATGATAACATCATGTTATGACATCTAAAGAGTCAATAAGAGATACAGTTGTATCTTTTATTGACTCTTTAGGTGTCATAACATGACATATTAGCCTGTTTTAAAAATAAACCCTTGCAACCTGTACAACACTAACCTATGCTCTCATGTAACATACGTATACAGTTATTATGTACTGTACGAGGGTTGTCCCAGAAATTATGCACTATATGGTCTAACATGCAATTACAATTTTATCATCAGCAACTTTAAATGTAGTCTTGATCAAAATCGACTTAATCCTTCATTGGTTGGCAAGGGGGGGGGGGTGGTAAGGTTTTGTGGTAACTTTTCTCGTAGTTGGGTCTTTTGACCTAAAATTTTCTATCTATTCCCTTCTAACTAAGTGATTATATTCTGTGATGAGCCAGCTCCTAATTTTACCTATTTAGGTCAAAGTTTTCAATATTTTATCATTACAGAGCGCTAAAAGATTTTGAATAAGAGATGCAATTTTTGTATTTGTTTGGGCACCATGTAACTCATATGCCTTAAGCTATTTTTCATTCCATTTTTGCTATTTCAATATGGTGTTTACCATGCAACAACAAATGCACAAGAGGTATTTACCCACCTTTCCTCACCCTGAGGCACTTTGAGTATTTTAGCTGCTAGAATGCACTGCACACTACAGACCAGCATGCAACACATATCCAACATTAAAACCACTGTTGTTAACACAATAGCAACCTCAAGAAGATCGCTATACAGAGTTTCTGTTAAGATACCTATACGCACACCAACTGGCAAACTGTTTCCAGAATCCTGTAGTTCCTGACGAGCGTGAAGTTTGAATAATAACTGCATCGCCAAAACGACAAGAACTAGAGATAAAATCGCTAGCAGTCCTAAGCTGATTAAGCTTTTTTGAACTCCATAGTCTTTGCCATATAAGGTAGTCCGGGAGAGATTTAAACTCCGTTTGGATAAACTTAATGATTTGTTGAGTGGTAATCGTGAGTTTGATAATGTTCCATTTTGTTTGGCATGTGGGATCCTGCCATTTGATTGGCTGAATTGACTCGTGTCACTGTCTGTGTGTCTTTCAACAGAGCGAATATTATCAATATTTCGATTTATGACATGATCCCTTGTTTTTTGATCCCAACTTGTAGAGTCCCTTGTCGTTGAATCCTTTAAAGAATCCCGTGTGTTCCAACTCCTTGTCGGAGAGTTCTCAGATCCGTTTGACCGCAAACTAAAATCGTTTATATCATTGAAAACTCGGTCGCTCGTATTGCTGACTGTGCTTATCTCTCGCTCTCTGGGTTTATAAACGCCCTGTGGGTATTCCCGGAAATTGTCATTTTTATAGTCCCACATTCCATTTCCTCGGAATGATGATCCCATATTTGGTTTGTCTGTTTCTGCTGTTACGTCATCAGCTGAAAAATATTAAACAAAAACTATTGATTTATAAATTAACAGTGATGAATTTGAATATTGCTATGAAATATGTTGCTAATCAAGCTATAGACCCCTATTTACCATGTAAAATGTTAATCATAAGCTATCAATCATATTGAATACATTAATTAACAAACTACAATTATTTGAAATCATTAATTTTTCTCTGGAGATAAAAAGGTAGCATCTGATTTGGGCTTGCCCAAAGCAACATAAGATTCTCGCAAATTCTTTATATTAATTCTGACTGAGATTTTGATGATTTCAACCTTGATTTCACTGTTGATCTACTATTATAAATATTCATAATATTTCCCTAATCAACATCTACTTTTAGTAAAATTACCAATTTAGGCCATTTAATGAAATTAAGAGACATGCTTCAAATATGTTAAGTTTTTCAGTGCTCATACTTTTTGTTGTTGTTGTTGATGTTTTTGTTTGTTCCATACTCTCTGGTGGTTATCCTAATATATTTTAAACTTCCTTCATGTTGTAGATATACTTTTGATTGTTACTATCTAATACTTCATCTTACTTAATTTTTATTCCATTCTTAATTCCGCCCATTTCCCCATACAATGTTTTCTGCTTTCTGAGAAATTTCAAATCAAGTAAAATTTTCCTTTCTACATCTTTCTATCTCTCTTCTTCATTTAAAACTGTGCTTGAGTTTTGTATAAACTACATGTATATGGTATATACATATGTATTATTTACCCTTTGATAGAGGTAGTCTGACTTTGCCTTCACTCGAGATAACTATTTAAACTAACTTGCCTTCGCCAGAAAACTGAATTTTGCAAATATAATTACTAGTTAACATTCTTTTCGTTTCCAATCTCCATAAAAGGACACAAAGGCTAAATTGAGATCATTAATATCGCTTCAGTATCAAATATGTGGTCTTATAAAATAGTCAGAGGCTAGCAAGGCTGACTGGTAATAATCAGGGTAACATATTATTGATTGCTTTATCTGGCGCATCACTACAAATGAAGTCCAGGTGTCAGTTCACCTGTACCATCTAACTGCAATCAAGTGACTCAAAAATATAACCTTAAAACAGGGGTCATGTTTTAAAATGCAAAATAGAGTGAAAAGTAGAGGAATTACCACAAAATAAAGTAAACAGACATGTTGTTGACACTCTAAATTGTAAAGAAATGAAAGAAAATCAGACACTTCATTCAAATTTTAGAGAGAAATGCAAGGAAATAAATGCAAACAGACAGACATTTTTAACACAGGATGTGTAATCAAGCTATCTCTAATCAAGCTACCTTGGATAAAAACACCACAGTGGGATCTGATTTATCAACAGTAAAATGATAGCCAAATATACAATCATGGAGGGGTAAATAAATGGGTTGCCATAGAAAAAATAATAAAAGTAAAATATTAAACAAATAATATCTTAGACCAGTAATCAGCTTTTGCTGGGACCTCCCCCTCCCTGGCTAAGCTGTACAGGCCAGAATGTTCCAGGAACAAAAAATTATTTATAATATATGAAATTAAAAACAATTAAACATTTAAAACTGATTTTTCTTCTACAGTCCCTTTTCCTTTCTAAATCTGTAAAGAAACTCCAGACAAGATAATTAAGGTTTGAAAATTGGCACACTTGAAAATTGGCAACATCATATATTTAAATAAGAAGAATTTACCTTAGAAGTAACCTCCAGATACCTCATCCTATGTATCTGAATGACAATTTCACTTACTTTGTTTGCAAACATGTCCCTTTTGTCCGTCTGCTCACGCTTATTCCACTCATTTCTCTCAAGAATTTGAATGAAGTGTCTGATTTTCTTGCATTTCTATACAATTTAGAGTGTTAACTACATGCCTGTTTATATTATTCCTTGCTTATTCCACTCTTTTCTACTCTATTTTGTAATTGAAAATACGACCAATTTTTATGGTTAGTTAAAAACAAGCTCCTTTCTACAAATCCTCCTGGTCTTCCATGTATCCTCTGGTAACAAATCCATGCAATCCATATAATTCAAAATTACATACATAAACATCTGCAAACCTTATTTCACAGTAACCTCCATAATAGTTTTGATCCATGATGAATTTACCTACGACATAGCAAAATAATGAAGAAGATTTTACTTGGCACGCAAGTATCAATAATTTGCAAAGTAAAATGTAAATTGTTTAAGGCACCCCTTTCATCCTATACTGAATCATGATATTTTAAATATGAAATTTCAATGTGAGAAATACATTTCAAATATTTTTAATTGAAACAAGCTAATTATGGACTTTGAATTTTATTTTCTGAAAATATCAGTCTAATGTTAACCTTCAAAGCTATGTGAGTGGTAACAAGAATTAAAACACCTAAAATCAGGAATGGGGTGTAGGGAGTGCTTTATATTTTGTTAATGCACTTGTTAAAATAACTAGTCATGCAATTTGTAACATTGACATTCCATACAATTAGTGACCACAAAACCATGTAATGACACTAAATGCCCTCCCTAATGTCTAATAATGTCTGTCTGCTCATGGTTATTTCACTCAATTTCTCTCTTAAATTTGAATGAAGTATCTGATTTTCTTGCATTTCTATACATTTTAATGTGTCAACTACATGTCTGTTTACTTTATTTCTTGCTAATTCCACTCTTTTCCACTTTATTTAAGATTTTAAAACATAACATGACCACCATGTCCTTTTTGAACAAAGTGATGGGTTCAATGTTACCCTGAGGCAAAAAGCTTGATAATAATAATAATAACTATCCTCTAAACAGGACAAATATAAATTTTGAAGATGACAAGGTCTTAATGTCCATTTTAAATACATAGAATATATTCTCATTGGGTAAGGCTAGATCAAAGGATTGTCTCTTATTCAAAGAGCCTAGAAATTAAACTCTAAAGTAAAATCAAACCAAAGTAAAGGGTAATTCAGGGAAATCAGAGGTGTCATAGTTATGTCAGTGCTAAATTGCTAACTAATACCAGATACATAATTAGAGTATTAAAATAGCATTAGTAATCATTATAAAAGATTATATAATCAATAGTAATAATTATGAAGGATTATAGAAAGATTAATGAATAAGTAAATTAAAGTAAGCTATAAGTTCAGAATAACATATTAACAACAGACCAATATATTTGTTTGTTTGTTTGTTTGTTTGTTTGTATATGCAAAACTCTTGTTGGATGTCTACAGGGGCAAATCTGAAAACTAAAAGGGGGGGGGAACACACTTCAAGTCTAAAGGAGTTAAGTCCTAAAGTCGTTTGATCATTAAATAACATGTTTAGGAACTGATGCAAAGCTATGGAAGTAAAGACTTATCAAAGACATCCTAATCTATCATAATATTGATCTTGAAAAGTGATAAAAACTTCGAAAGCACAAAGGGCAACATTTGGAAACACAAACAAAGCCCAATAAATAATATCAACTGGAGAAATATGATAGGCCATCATATTTTTCTGGATATTTGGTCTGAATCAGTCTCCGGAGAAAAGGAATAGAAAATGAGACAGAGTCAAGTGCATTAGATGGAGATGGAACTCTCTTGTAGGAACATACTTTAATATGTAGGCCAAGTGATGATACAGTTGGGTACAACCCCTCTTATATATGAACAGACGAAGAACTTGATATTTTCATATGATTTGATCTATAAGAGATGGATTTAATATGGGAGTTTAAAAAGTGAAAAATAACAACGGGACTCAAACTGTGTTCATGTTGTAGATGTGTTCATCTTAAAGGGTTGTTCGGTTGGAGAGGTTTCATTGTATGTCATTTTATCTGTTTTGAAAAACTTCCAAACATTTCTTCCTGGGGTCGATTAGTGAGTAAGCAATGATGGGTCATACCTGGTTTCATGAAACTGGGCACCATGGTGTAAAATGGCATGTGATAGGAATTTTCAGATACATTCTATAGTAACTTAATGATATAAGCATGGGATGGGATGCTTTAACTGAGAAAAAATGTCATTGTGGTCAAATTTTAAAATCTAAAATAGAGTAGAAAAGAGTGGAATTAGCAAGGAATAAAGTAAACAGGCTTGTAGTGAACACTCTAAATTGTATAGAAATGCAAAAATATCAGACACTTCGTTCAAAATTTAACAAGAAATGGAGTGAAATAAGCATGAGCAGACGGACATTTTAAGCATGCTTTGTTTATTATGGCAAGATAAGACATGGACGATTTGAGACAAGGCCTGTGTTATCTTTACTTTAGGATAAATTCAGCCATCTGCTCCTCATGAATCCTGGAGGTCAAAACAATCACATTTTACCTCAAATATTCCAATGCACAATTTAAAAGGACTTGAATGCAGTGGTTTTTCTGCTCAAATTCTTACTATGTACATGTCAAAAGGGGCAAAATGATTTACATAAAAAATGAGAGTAAGATGGGTGATTTTTGACAGCAACTGGCATTCTTTTATGTGAACTTTGATCTTTATTCTCAAGACAGTTATGTTTCAAAATGACAATTTGGAGAAATAAGAGAGAAAAAAGGAAGAAATAAACAAAACGGGCATGTAGTAAACATTCAACATAGAATAGAAATCCCCAAAATCAATTCAAATTTCTTTTAAACTCGCAAAAGAATGACTTTTAATAATAAATAAATAAGAGAGATGTCTTTACATGTGACTTAATGCAATGACTTATACTGATCCACAAAAGGTAGTTTTCGATCCAAGTACAAAGCAACATGTAAAATGTATGTCCTTTAAAAAATGATAGTTTCATATTTCGATTTTTATTAACATTATATAGTTTAAATTGCACACAGCTTTTCAGCTGCGTTGAATATTTGGCATGTTGGAATGAGATTCGAATCATGTTAACAAAAAATATTTTCATGTTTGCTCAGCATGTCATCGGATCGAGTAACAATCTGTGGCTCAAATATCATGATGAAGATGGTCTTGTTTTAAAATCCAAAATAGAGGGGAAAAGAGTGGAATTAGCAAGGAATAAAGTAAACAGGCATGTAGTTAACACTCTAAATTGTATAGAAATGTAAAGAAATCTGACACTTTATTCAAATTTTAGAGAGAAATCAGTGGAATCAACAAGGAATAAAGTAAACAGGCATGTAGTTAACACTCTAAATTGTATAGAAATGCAAGAAAATCAAACACTTTATTCAAATTTTAGAGAGAAATAAAGTGAAATGGGCATGAGCATTTAGATATTTTGTCAAATTTTAGGTGATAAACAGATGAGCAACATTTCGGAAAGAATTTGTGTTTTAAAGTATATAAGTTCTGAATAAGCACTGAGAAAACAGACAGAAAGTGATTAGTTATATCTAATTACAATAACTATATTGTACAATTGTACTTTAAATGGTAAACCCCTTAAAACCATATCCTAGAATGCCTCTTTATTAAACGATGCATTTCTGTATAGTGTGCAGATGCCAAATTGAAAACAAATTTTGAAAAAATTAAAAATATTCCTATAATATCAAAACATCAACATTGTATCTGACCAATACTGAGAATGAGAAAATCAATTTGGCGAACATATGAGCATATTTACGCCCCGAGTCTCCATTTTTGAGATGCATCCAATAATGTCAGAGTGACCTTTACATCATGCTTTTAATAAAGAAACGGTATTGAATAGCTGTTTATCCTTGAACTAAATCTTTTTCCCATTGGATGAGAAATGTTTATAAAATGATGGAAACTTTTTGAAATCCCCTTCACCCGAGAAAATCTTTAATGAGGAAACCCATCATTTAAAGGAATTCCTTGGAGATGATAAAATATTTTTGTAACTTGAGGTATAGATTATCTACAAAAGTCACAATATCTCATTTTTATATAGTTTTTGTTACCTGTGTTACCTATAGTGTACTTAGATTTTCTATTTATTCATGCTTGATGCTTCCATGTTATTTTTCCCTATTAGACTACAAGTGATTTGATATTTGACTACCTGATTATTTTGCATTTTTTTGCTAATTCCTCTCATTTCTCTCTAAAATTTGAATAAAGTGTCTGATTTTCTTGCATTTCTATACAATTTAGAGTGTTGACTACATGCCTGTTTGATTTACTGTATTCCTTGCTAATTCCTCTAATTTCCATTCTATTTTGCATTTTATAACATGACTATCATATAACATCTCTATACAATTTGGAGAGTTGACTACACACCAATCAGTATTACTCTTTGCCAATTCCATTCGTTTCCATTCAATTACTTGAAAACACCGCCCTTTAACATTTCTATAAAATCTCAAATGTACTACTACTACCTGTCTGTTTGCTTTATTCCTTGCTAATTCTCTTCTATTCCTCTCATATTTAAAATTCAATGTTATTACCTATTAAATCAATTCTCCAAGGCACCTAATTCTTGGGATTATTCCATTCAAATTCAATGTTCTATTTTCTTATGCACAAGTTGAACTTGTTTAGACTAATTTTGGGTCCTTTTCTTCGCATTTCACCTTTGATTTATATATAGGTGGGAATTCCTTCGCACACTAAAGCTCAATGTGAAAATGTGTACGCTTTTATGAATAAACATTTAAGAAATGAAATAAAGTCCTTTCAGGCTTTCAAATGTCCCTGTGTAAATTCCTGAGCTGTAGTAAAGTGTATATAACACCCCGACATTTGAACTCGGAATCCTACAAATACTCGGACTTCAGCAAACATGAGGTTTGGGCAAATTAGGTTCAATTCTTATGCCGGGCATAAGAGTAGATCTGTTCTTATGCCGGGCATAAGAGTAGATCTGTTCTTATGCCGGGCATAAGAGTAGATCTGTTCTTATGCCGGGCATAAGAGTAGATCTGTTCTTATGCCGGGCATAAGAGTAGATCTGTTCTTATGCCCGGCATAAGAGTAGATCTGTTCTTATGCCCGGCATAAGAGTAGATCTGTTCTTATGCCCGGCATAAGAGTAGATCTGTTCTTATGCCGGGCATAAGAGTAGATCTGTTCTTTTGTCGGCATAAATAGAAGATCTGTCCTTATGCTAAATGCAAAAGACAATGAGAGTAGATTTGTTCACTTCAAGTATACGCGGTCACAAATTTGTTACAAATATCATTATAACACTTACAGGAATGAAAATAGAGGGAAAATTGATGGCCAACAAAGTTTTATGTCAATTTTTTACCAGTAATGGTCATTACTTCAATGCCCTGATAGATTTTGTACACCAGCACAGAGTAAATAACAAAGAAACATTGTATTTATTTATAATAGTTCATGTTATATTCAAATAATATTTCATGTATTTAATTTTATTAATATATTACTGTATAATACTTTAACTGCTGAAGTTATAAATTTATTTGGTGTTTGAATTTTTTGTCAAGTTGGTTTTGACTTGAATCCCAATAGTCTAGTATTATTTACTGTATTATAGGGAGTTTCAATTGTCATTTCAATACTCTGATGTAGTAGCCATCCTTAGCTCATAGTCATATGAATCATGAAGGATTTTAGGGTTTGGCTTTTTCATGTAAAATCCCTTACCAAGGGATTTTCGCTATGACAAATTGATTGGATGAGATGGAGTTATAGTCTTGTATCACAATGTATAAAGTTTCATTTGACTGATTACAGTTGCGTTAACATTCATAATCATAGTCAACAGTGTTTGTTGCGTCACTGATTTTTATTCTTCATCTGCTGTTACTGTTTCTTTGCCATTTAGAGCATAGTCACAGTTACTTGGGTTTCTTGATATCAGCATTGAATAATAAGGCTCTGATTCCATTACTGCATCATTTTGTCACAAATAGCCGAGAGGATAATCACTTCATGGACATTGTGAGATGTGAAGATGAGACGCTTCTGGGGTACATTGTATTTTCATATATTCATTATCTTGGCTGGGTCTTCTAATCCACACATGTATTTTTATCAGGAACTTTGCAGGGCAAGTTAATTTAGCCTGGTTAAATAAGTCAACACAGTCAATGTTTGCTGTTCTTCTTAGCCACATTCACAATAGGCCTAGCTGATGGCGGAGTTCCAATGTCATTTTAGTTGATTGTGTGGTAATGTCATGATTTGTACAGGCACTTGCACAACAGGGAACATCTTCAGCAAACACTGAAAAATAAGAAAAGTTCATTATATTGACAGAATCACTCAAACCATACATTTACTCTTAAGGCATTCTCAAAAATGTGTGATGTCAGATAATAAAAGTGATATTCACTCAGGTGGCAAAATTGTCAATATTTTTCTCATTTTCTTATCATGGTATATATCCATGCCCCGCATGATACTCATAAAAAAGTTTCTCTCTATATTAAGGCCACTCAGCCTATTTTGTAGTATTTTATTGTTTTCATATTGTACTTAGACTAAATATTGTATGAGCAATTAGGAGAAACACTGGAACAGGGAGGGTGTGCTAGAAGGCAATAGAATCAATTTATAAAAGAAATTCAGATTTTTAATAATTTTCTTTTAAGAGGAGCGAGTGGGCAGCACAGGAAAATTTTACTAATTCAAGATGCTGTCTGGTTAATTCTGAGCACTTTTAATGTGTTTGAGTAAATTAATGCTTTAGTTTTTGGGATGCGGTGTCAGAATAATATGTCACTTGGTGATTTCTGAGCACTTTTAAAGTGTTTAATATTAACAAATGCAACTTCAAAACATTCCCAATTGTTTTGTGGGGGGGGGGGGTGTGAGTGTGCACTTTCGAAGTGTGTTAATCAAAGGGTTGTCAAAGAGGATAAAAGGGTGAGGGCGATGGGTGCCCAACTCTCCTAGAAAACTTTACAATTTTAAGATGATATTTGGTGCTTTCTAGGCACTTTTAAAGTGTATGAGTCAATAAAAAAAATGAACAACAATCATATTTTTTTCAAATCTTGGGGATGTCAAAGGGGGGCTGGGGTGCCAAAGCGGGAAGTAGGGTTTGGGTGCCAGAGGGGAGAGCAAGTGTTTGTCCCCCATATCTGTCCCCAGAAACATTGACCATATAAAGGTGCTATTTGATGAAGTCTGGGCACCTAAGATGTGTCTTGAGACAATACATGAAATAAATTCAAAATTTTTGTCAATTGTTTTGTGGGGGATGTGAGGGGTGGCCTACTTCCTTTAATAGAAAATTCAACAATTTTAAGATGCTATTTGGTGCTTTCTGGGGGGGGGCGAGGGGGAGGTGGGGTGAGAATGACAGAAGGGGAGCAAGTGTTAGTCCCCCAGAAACATTGACTATATCAAGGAGCTATTTGATGATGTCTGGGCACTTTTAAAGTGTCTGAGACAATACATAAAATAAATTCAGAACTTTTCAATTTTTTTGTGGGGGTGTGAGGGATGGCCTACTTCCCTAAACAGCGGATTATATAAAAATGGACTGTAACAAATACCCGGATTTGTTGGTTTTTAAAAAGAATAATCTGCTGGTATTATTTAGGAAGTGATGTTTAAAGGTAGTTCAAGATTTAAGACCCATCATTCTGACATAGGTTGCTGAACTAATGTTAGTTAAAAATTCCTAATAAAATTAAGAATTAATAGCTGAAACTGTTCTGTTGGCCCTAGCAAACAATATCCCAATATGCATTTGAAATTCATTTCTGTCTATATGTGTTTACAGTCTGTGATGTCATCATCAATCTTCATCAATCTTCACAATCGAATGGGAATAAGTTGAATTCTATCTGTGACAGTGAGATTATCTATGATGTCACATAGTAGTTTGATTTCTAAGAAATGTGGCAGAGTTCTATCTATGACAGAGATACTTTGTGATGTCATCGTGAATTACCTCATTTCTATTGTGATGGTTGTTGATGACATCACAGACTGTCAACAAATAGACAGAAATGAAGTTGAAATACAAGTTGGAAAATTGTTTGCCAGGGCAAAACAACTGTTTCAGCTAATAATTCTTAATTCTATTAGGAATTCTTAACTAACATTAGTTCAGCAATCTGTGCCAGAATGATGGGTCTTAAATCTTGAACTACCATTAAAAATCACTTCCTAAATAATACCAGCAGAGAAATGGGGTATCTCTTTTATGCTCAGCATAAAATGGGACATCACTTTTTATGCCAGCATAAAATGGGACATCACTTTTTATGCCGGGCATAAAAAGTGATATCAAAAAAATATTTCTTTTACAACCCAATAAATCTGGGTATTTGTTACAGTCCATTTTTACAATTTTAAGATGCTATTTAGTGCTTTCTTTTTTTCCAAAATTTTTTTTGGGGGGTGTCAGAGGGGGGTGCGGTAGCATCCGTCCCCCCCCCCCCATTTGACGGCCATGAAATAACATGACTACAGGGGGAAAATTGACTTTCCTTGGAATATTTGACAAAACGGTTGTAGTGTCTAACATCACTTCTAATGAAGCATTACAATTATCCATTATGAGATCACACAATTCACATGACCATTATATTATAATTGTTCAAAACAGTCGGGAATAGGTGGCATTTGACAATTTGATGGGTTTCATAGTTTATTTGATAACTTATGCATTTAAACATGGTTAGTTAGGGCATGGGCTTTCAACTAGAATTGAAAGCCCATGGTTAGGGGCTATTCTTGCAGGATTTTTTATTTGCCCCGGGTGCCTAGATTTTCTGTTACTATGGCAACAATTTCTTAAATAATATACCAAATACTTTTTGATACATTAATACAGCATTCTATACTACACATTCTGTGAAAAATTCATTGGAATAATTGAAAAATAAAAAAATTAAGAGAGATATTATGAGAACTATTATGATATACCCTCGGATAGACTATATTGAACCATTATTTATTATGAGATATTTATATTGTGCTTCTTATTCATGTATTTGTATTTAAACAATAAAAGTAATACTGTATTCAGTTAATTAACCCACTGAATGAAGTTCGAGGGGGATATAGAAAAGCCGTCCGTTCGTCCGTCCGTTCGTGTGTCCAGGCAATAACTCAAATACCGGTTCAATGGATTTCATTCAAATTTTATAGGCTGATGCCTTATGGGTGTAGGATCTTTGCTCGAGAATCAATATGGCCGCTTAATTCAAAATGGCAGCCATTTTTCGAAAAAAATATATAATCTTTGATAATTCAAATACTAGTGGATGGATTTGGTTCAAATTTAATATGCTGTTGCCTCTATCATGTGTGCGAAATTGGAGAAAATCCAATGAATGATTTTCCTGAAATGGCGATGAAAAGATTTTCCGAAAAACCTTCAAAATGGCCGCCAGAAAACAAGATGGCCACCCAAAAGTTAATCAGCTCTAGAACTTGATATCCTCTATCATGTGTGCAAATTTAGAGGAAATCTGATGAGCCGTTTTCCGAGGCTGAACATTCCCGGAAAATCCTGTAACATGGGATTTTATCGTTTTTCGCAATATGACAGATTCAAGTGCCTATAAATTTGCAGGGCATTGTCAGATTAAAACAACCTTTTGATGTTACTACTGGTCCATACTTTTAGAAAATGCATTATTCTTGCAGTTTTATCAAAATGGGACCCCTGGAGACCCCTTAGAATAACAATAAAGCAAAATTTCACAGGAGTGACGATTTTTTTATAAGAGGTCTCTAAGGGACCCTGATAAAAAATACATGATTTATCAATTTTTGTAATTTTGAAGCCTGTACAAACATTTTAAAAAAAGTTCATGACTTTTCGTTAAGTACTGAAGTATTTACAAAGTTACAGCGGTCCCAAGCTGGTGAGGCCGCGAAAAATTGGTATCGCTAACAATCGCTAACAATTACCCCTCGCTAACAATACCCGTTTTACAGTATTGTAAATGGATATGTACCTCGACTCTATTTTCTATATTTCAGGAAATTTCAATTTATCTCTTAATTACAATATGTCAAAAATTGATGTCAAAGTTGAAGAATTTTTAAAAATGGCAGAACCCATGTTAACTATAGGGAAATGGTGGGTTAGGAGCAAATCAGATTTTTTGATATTTATTTGGTAAAACATTTATTAAAGATTATTTCTGAGTAGACAATTGAATTGTTTTACTTTCTGCATGTTTGGTGTTAAGCTTACTTTGTGAGAATTACAGATATAGAGCATCAACATACTGTAAAACAGGTAATTTTGACACCGGGAAATTTCAGCGATTTTTCAATTTTAGGGGGTTTTAGCGCGGGAAATTTTAGCGAAATGAAGATTAATCTTTAAAAAATCAAATTAGCGAAATGCATTACAGTGGGGATCATAAAGAATTGCAAAAGCTATGAAAATTACATGCTGTCGCACATGTAATAAATTCTTACCTCAGTGTATTCAGTGCTCTATTTTCTCCGTCTTAGTAAGTCCAAATATAGTGGAATTTGTGTCCCTCTAATGACAAATAAGAACTTCAAAAGTTGAAGTGGATATTTATAGGATATCCTATGATTTTGAGGAATATCATTTTTATCTACGAGGTGATATTGATATCTGCACGAGAAAGCGAAGCGAACGAGTGCATATATCAATATCACCGAGTAGATTAAAATGATATTCTGAAAAAATCATAGGATGTTCTTATTATCCTACACTTACAAGGAGTGTACTAAATGTATAATATCATTGCAAAATGAATTCCATGTCAAATAGAGTCAATTTGGCGGGAAATCAACAAGCGGAGTATATCGTCACAATATCCTCCGCATATTGGGTTTTCCGGAGTATATCGTAATGATATCCTCCGCCCGGAGTATATCGTCACGATATCCTCCGGATATTCATTTTGCCAAAAAATATCAAATTTATTTTTTAATGTTATTATACATTTAGTACACTGAGTGTAGGATAATCACATGTTATGCCGACTCTTCAAATATTGAGGTGATTTTGTCGCCCGATTGCGCCGGAACAGAGGATTGGCTCCCAGAATGCAACATGACACGTGCCAGCTTTCAAAATGCTGTTCCGCCATTTTGAAACCTGTCATGAGTAAATACGGTTAACTGATGTTGCATTCTGGGAGTCAACCGTCCTTGGATAACAAACATGGCGATTCATGAAAACATTCATTCGATTTGGTAGGAACTTTATCCATTATTTGCAGGTATGAAGCTTTGGATTCATTTATTGTGCTACTTTAGTGAACGGGAATTATTTTTCTACCGCTTGGGAGAGTTTGAGACACGAAGCTTTGAAATTGGCTCATCGTGACAACTTGTGAACGTTGAGTTTTATTTTTGTCCCCCACTGTAGAAAGAGAATTTAACAGCTATATCATTGGTTGTGCTCAATTAACACCTTTTATCTTTATATTTGCTACTATATAATACTATTTCACTGATGGATGGCTATTTATCCTTCAGATATTGAAAGAAACATACGATTTAAAATATTTACCTTTTTCAAATTACAAACCGGAAGTCGAGCAGTGAACGAAAAGCTCCTTAAATACATGTACTAGTATTCATGTAGTTTCCCGGGAATTTGCAAATTTTAGCGCCCGGTTTATTTTAACCCCGGTTTATTTTAGCGAATTGAATTTTTATTAGCGAAACTATAGCGATCGCTAACAATTACCCCTCGCTAACAATACCCGTTTTACAGTATTTTTGACAACTCATTTTTGACCCCTGTGTTATTTCAATGGGAGGTTTATCGAGAAATGATTTTGACTTTTGAGATTCATAACTTTGTAAAACCTGGAGAAACAAATCAATTTTTGTTGTGGACAAGTTAGCAAATTCAATTGTCTATTTAAATTTTATTTTTGAGAGCAATTGTATGGATGGATATTTTCTCATATGACTTTTGGCTTGGCAACCCAACCCGTTCCAATTGGTTTACATTGGTCCTGCCATTTTTATTAAATTCCTCAAATTTGACATCAATTTTTGACATATTGAAACGGAGATTGAATTGGAAATTTTCTGAAATATAGAGAATAGAGTCAAGCTTCATATCCATTTACATTATCAGTTTTTCTTTCGTTTCGGGCTTTGAAAATAAGACTTCAAACAGACATGGGGTTTAACATGTACTATGAGGAAAAAGACCGGTCCAGTCCTTAACTTTTTTTGAGGAGTATATGTTTGATCGCTAATTTGTCTATCAATTTAGTTGCGTTTGCATTGTCTCCAAAGGTTACACTCAGATATATACACATTGGCGCAGGAAAACTTTACAATGTGCGTCAGTATAAGGCCATAAGAAGTAGATTCTTTGTTTTGCATCCAATTGCTTGCACGATTGTGAGTAAATCAAAAAAAAACAAACACATCCAAATAGCAATCACAAGGGTCTGAAAGTACCATCGCATTTCGTTCAATCAGAATCAGACGAAATGGACGATAATTTGACGCATGTCAAAATTTAATTGACGGTGTTATTGACTACTTTGGCTCTCATTGTGCAATTTTCTTATTTTTTACCCTTGAATAATATAGCTATGTTTAACATATATTGTGTAAAATGTATCTAATGTGTTTGTAATCACTGCAAATTGGTATGCCATTCCTTTTTATGCCCATAAAATGTATACATTTCCCAGCAAACAAGTTTGTGTTTTTTCTTGAGTTTGTGTTTGTTTTCCTTGCACCCTTGCATGCTTTGGATTTTGCCAGGACGCAAAACAAAGAATCTACTTCTCATGGCCTTATGGCATTTGGTTATAACACCTTAAATTGAATAAATCATGAAGATTTGGAGTAATGGTGTTGAACTGTTTTTCGTAACACTGGTTTAAAAGATGGTGGGTGCATATTTTAGCTATTTAGGACAATTAATTAGGACCTTTTCCCCTACCCGTGCGGTGATAGGACCATTTCACTTTCAAATTGAGAGGAAAAAGTATTTAGGCCTACATGAGAAAAAATTAAATATGACCAATTATTAACTCTTGCTTTACCACCTACTCCCCCTAGAAATAAACCCACATTTGTATTGAACTCAATAACTGATAAACTAATGAACATCATCTCATATTTAGAAAAAACTCAATGACAAGTCAAAGCCAAATCTGAAATCATCAGTCAAGTCACTTGTTCATTTGAGAAAAAATGGTGAAACATTCACATTTTCAGTGTTTTCTATGAATTTCATTTAAAATTATTTGAGCATTTATAAATAATGAACATTATTTCAGTAATATACATTTACTTACATATCAATCTGCCAAAGAAAGATCTACAAGTATTCAAAGGCCTAGGACACTTTTCCAACAAAGATTTTCTGTCAAGGCTGTGTGTCTGTCAGTGCATGTGTGAGCCAAGCCTAGATATGTCTTCTGCTAAATTATGAATTATGACTCATCAAACAAACAGGGTCAAAGCCAGGTCAATGTAAACAAATCTTCTTGTGTCATGGCAACCAAGCATATGACAAGCAGAGAAAGTTCAAGATAGAGAATTCTTAGAATCTGATGTCATCAAACAAACATATAAACAAACATGTGTCATGGCAACCAAGGTCAAAATATTTAGCAGACAGCACAGAAAAATGGAAGAAGCAAAAGATCAACTGGCTGATGTAATTTGGAACAAATTTGTTGCAGAATTCTGGGTATGTTTTCATGAATGTTTTTGATTTCAAACAATTAATAAGCCTGTGTAGAAGTGGAAAATATTCAAAATAATGTAATTTGTAAATCAATCCTCAATCATCTGATCATGTCAATTCAATTTCAAAGCTGAAAATAAATTCATGACTGTCTTTGGAGCACAAAATTACATGAATTAAGTCTCCGTCTCTCAGTAATACTGTATGAAGATTAGGATAGCCTAACACAGATTTCATTTTGAATTCGTATGACAAGGATAGGAACAGACATTTTGTGACTAGATCTATGTAGGCCTACATTGTACATTGCTGAAAATTAGTTTGTCATTTGTCATTTTCAGAATGTTGGAAAAGCAGAAAGGTGCCAAAAGAAACAACAGATGTATTGCAATTTAGGCAGTTGCTGAAAATGTACTTACCCCTTGGCTCCCTACACCATATGACTCTGCAGATCTGGGCCTAAACTGTTCTGTTCCATCATTATGTTGTTCTTTGTGACTGTAGCGACTGTAGACAATAGGCTAGTACACCCTCTTCACATGGATGGACCGATATTGGTGTTTACATTCTGAGGACCATGGTAAATGGTAATACCAACATAAACAAAGGAAACTTTTGCTGTGCTGCACACTGGCTACACAGTGCATGTATATGTACAATGGGCATAGCAATTATTGTACTATGTGTACAGTCAATTACATTGATTACATCTACCATTTGATGTCCTGACTCCAGCATCTAATTCAATCAATTTGGAGATCATTTGGGAAGGAACTTTATATGAATAAGCCTAAAATCCCTCCAATGACTATGAGCTAAGGATGGCTATTATGATATGGATGGTTACATCTGGATTACAACTTCAAGTAAAATGTTGTCGTAAAAGCTCTGCAAATCTACAGATCTATGGATCCTTCAAGTGAACAGAGAATTGAAAGTACATTTGAAGCTGCATAACACAGTGCTACTGACAATACATTAAAGTCAAAACCAACTTAGCAAAAAAATTAATTGACTAAAAATTCAAACACCATTATAATTATCTATACTAACTTCAAAAGAATACATATACAGTGATATATTGATTAAATCAAATTAATGATTTGAATATAAAGTGAACTGTTATAAATAAATACAAAATTTCTTTGTTATTTACTGCTGTACTGGTGTACAAAATCTATCAGAGCATTGAAATAATGACCAATACTGGTAAAAATAAATAACAAATTTGTGAGCGCGTAAACTTGAAGTGAACAAATTTACTCTCATTATCTTTTGCAAAGCATAAGGACAGATCTTCCATTTATGCCAACTAAAGAACAGATCTACTCCTATGCCGGGCATAAGAACAGATCTACTCTTATGCCGGGCATAAGAACAGATCTGCTCTTATGCCGGGCATAAGAACAGATCTTCTCTTATGCCGGGCATAAGAACAGATCTTCTCTTATGCCGGGCATAAGAACAGATCTTCTGTTATGCCCGGCATAAGAACAGATCTACTCTTATGCCCGGCATAAGAACAGATCTACTCTTATGCCCGGCATAAGAATTGAACCTAATTTGCCCAAACCTCATGTTTGCTGAAGTCCGAGTATTTGTAGGATTCCGAGTTCAAATGTCGGGGTGTTATATACCCCTGTGTTCAAACGTTGTCTTTCATCATACTTATTTTACTCAATTTCTCTCTAAAACTTGAATAAACTGTCAGATTTCTTTACATTTCTATACAATTTAGAGTGTCAACTAAATGCCTGTTAATTCTATTCCTTGCTAATTCCACTCTTAGACTGTAACCCATTCTGTAGAAGTGCTCTAGAAATGCAACCTTCCTTACATGAAAGGTTACATATTCCAACCTATTTCAAACCATCTGTATGATTATACTGGACACTTTCTGGGTAGTTGGACTTTCCATAGGGGTGGCAGACAGCCCTCAGACCAATTTATACCCCTACCCCCAAAAAACCATGGGGGTACTTTAATACCACCCAATTAAAAGAATACTAATGCATGTCAGATATTGATTGTTTTATATTGGGTAGAGCATGTTATGGTTAATAAGTGCCAGAAATTTCCAATCTCTAACTTATATGGTTACCATAGAAACAGTATTTATATCTCGAAATATTCTCAATTTGACCCCCTCCCAAATGTGTCCCTTTGTTCTTAAAGTGAAATATTTCAAAATCTGTTTGGATTTTATGGCTGCTACTTTGTCAAAATTTGTAATATTATGTCTATATTAACACCAAAACACTTAAAAGTTGATATAATGATCCTATAAATCAATAATATTTATCAAATATAGTCACACTTAGCTGCTTTCAGGGAAAAGTGGGCGTGGCACTTTTTGGTACTTGTGCGCTTGTTGCAGCATTAAATGAAAAATTCAGATTACACTAACAATAATTGACATTTAATTAGCATCTACTAATGTTGTGTAACATTGTAATATGTTCATTATCATTATTAGACACTTTAAATATTTTATATAAGTGTTATCCTGACCCTTCCCTATCATAGGTCATCAATGGTCAAATTAACTTTTAGTTTAAGTCTTATAGGGTCCTCGGTCTTTTAAGTCTGTCAAGAGTCAAGTCTTACTTATTCATTGACTTGTTCCTAGAATATGAATGGATAAGTTCAAGTCATCTAGAGCTATGAGTTACAATTAATTAATATGCTTGTTCAACAGGCTTCAATATTTAGAACCATTTTACCATGTTTACTGCAATTGAAAAGTAATGAACAGTTCAATCCTTTTGGTATGATATTTGATGCTAGTGTGAATTGCATAACATTTATGATTAAACTTAAATGAACTAATATAACTATGGCTATTAACCCTTCCCTGGTATCCTTCACATAACCTCTAAATCATCTTCATATCCATGGCCTAAATGGGGAAGGAGGGAGGGGTTACAAATAGTGACCGAGGATAGTTTGAATCAAAGCAAGAAGACGTAATACTCAAAACTAGAAAGATTGGAGACCATTTATACCCTTCCTAATATTTTGCCTAATACATAACAACCAAAATCTATTTTGTCAGACACTTGCTGATTCTTTTATCAATACCTCAACATCAGGCAATGCATGATCTATCCAATGGATTAAAGATTATACTTGATTCTAATATGGCAAAATTAATTTTTCGAATGAGCATCATTTTGCAGTTATAATAAAATGCATCCATTCATTCATTGGCTCATAGTTAACAAAAAAGCTATTCTCTGGAAGGTACAGTATAATTTCTATTAGTATTTAGCAAAATAATTGCAAGATAAACAATTTACACATGTTTCTGATATGCTGTATTTTCAATGATTCCTTCAATAGTGGTTCGGTATATGTTTTTGAAATATTTCAAATAATTTCTAAACAAATCTGTTTAGTGTATGAAATCAAAAAAAGTAGATACATTTGTCCCATACTTGGACATGTTTCAGATACATATAGCAGGTTTATAAATACTTGTATTTTTATCAGCGGGCAGATATAGCTAATGTCCCGGCCTGAGAGGGCAGATATATTACACCTGGCCACTAAGTCATAATCATCATTTGTGTATGATTAGCAATGAGGGAAGTAGCATACTAATACATATGTTAATAATTAATGATTCCAAAATATGTGGATGAATACTTAAAAAACAGGAGAATCCTCCTAAGGCCAAGAAAACAAAATTAGACATGAATACATTCATATGGTTGAATTCTTTCTAACGCTGGCCAATTGAACAATGTGAACCAGATAAGAAAGATTGATATGGGATAAACAGATCATCCTATAGTCAGTTCATGCTATTAGGATTATCCCTTGGCGAATATAATATATCTTCCCTCAGGACCTAAGGCCTTTGGCCAATAGAAAATATCTTCCCTCAGGACCAACGACCCTAGACCAGATATATGATATTGGCCTCGGGATAATTCCAATACCCTGAACCTCATAGAGGATAATCTCTATTCGTCTTCATCAATTATTATTATACATATAAATCGGGATATAAATATAACCTAAAGTAAGAAATCACATTCTCTAACTAGTAATATTTAATTTTAAAATTGGTAAATGATAATTATGTCACAATAGAATTGATGACCATGATTTATTTGAGAATAAAACAGACAAAACAAAGGCTAACAAAAATCTTTAAAAATTTGGGTAAAACATAAATATTTTAAAATTGCTTGTTTTTCATCATTATTACTTCGATCTCCAAACCCCAAAAATTGAGTGTTACAAATTGTTTCAAGTTAAAGTATGCCTAATTTCCTGAGCAAACTAGTTAACATATAAGCAGTTGGATCTTGTTAGATATTTTCCCTCGACAATGCCTCATCTAATTCATCTATATACAAACTACTAGATTCCAAATGTTATTTTACAGGATGGGTGTTCATGAAAGTAACACTAAACATCAGTTTTGTCATAAACTGAACAATGCAGCTAATTTATTCTCCCATCTAAGCAACAGAGCCTCTTTTAATATATTGTAATTTCAAAATTGCCTCTAATGAAGTTCTTCAATCAAATCTAAAATGGACACAACTGGTAATATCTTTATACCATATGAGTAGAATGTTTGTTTCTTTCAAATTCATGCTTTCGTTAGAAACATGGATATCACTAATTCATAGTTTTGATTCATATTTAAAATTGTGTGCTTTATATATGAGGTTTAATTAATGGGAAGTTTTTAATACAGGGAAATACAATATATCTGAGGGAAATACAATATACCTCCCCGAGGGGTTGAGGGTAGAATATTGTATTTCCAAAGGGTTATACCTTGTACCCAAAATTATTTATCATATACTAAAATACGAAAATATGAGAAATTGCACAGAATGAAATTCTTGCAGGGGATTACTGAGCGGGTGATAAACCTGGCGATACTTTAGAGATTATCCTATATGAGGTTCAGGATATTGAGACTATCCCGAGGCAAATATAATATATCTGCCCAAGGGCGATTATGACGGAGTGGGCAGATATACTATATCTGCCCGCTCGCAACGGGACGTAAAGCTATATCTGCCCGCTGATGAAAATGTAAGTTTTTACAAACCTGCTTTATGCACCTGAAACACGACCAAGTATGGGATAAAGCGGGATATGCAGTACATGTATATCCCCACTCACCTAAGGTATCAATTATATTCATGCATTTTATTTACCTATAACACTAAGTATAGGATAAATAACTTTTACTGACAAATTGTATAAGTACATGATTACATTAGTCACAACTACTCACTAAAAGGTTAACTTATTGCATGAAGAAATGTAATTCTACATGAAGATTTCAAATATGATATCACTTATTTGACTGAATTTTGAATTTTTAATGATGTAAAGCAAGATTATTTCTACTTGCATCTACACTGGGGAGTATCGTGATGCAACAACACCGTGTTGTTGCATCAAGATGGCCAGACTTCCGGTGATAGATTTTCGTACGATATTTTGTTTCCCCAATTAAACCCATTTCTAGGACGAGTTGCTCAATAACCATACACGTGCAGTTAGCGCACGATCTATATTTAAAGAAACTGTCATTAGTATACATGTACCATCACCAAGAAGCAATAAGTTCACGGTTTTAGTTCCTCACTATTGATGCAACAACACCAAACCGAAGATGCAACAACGCCCCTCCAGATTTGAGCAATGATGCAGCAACACCAATTAATAGTATAATTTCAGAAGACCATAAATCTCGAGAAGAACAGATTTTTAAATGCTACGATTGCAACACCGTTACCCATTACCCATATTTGCGTTCTTCTCAAGGCATTCAAAATACACGTCCTGCGGGCGAAGATCCTTTATATGCATTTTCAAAAATGTATACTTTTAAATATTATAATGTACTGGACGTTGTTCTATAACATAGTTCAATCGCCTTTAACATGGCAAGCTTTAGTAACCCAATCTATTTTCATAAACCACTATTCCATAGCTTGATGACCCTGACTCCAGTTAATATCATTCAAAATTGTGGACAAACATCTTTCGTTCTCGGTAAACATGATGAGCTATTGGAAATTATCTGTCATCCATCTGTGGAACAGTGATAAACTAGATATAGTAGATGTACGTTACCACTGTTCATCAAATTATAACTAAAACAGTTTAACTGTGACATTTGTGAGCTTATGTTGATGGGATGATTGCTTAATCTATGATATAATATGATATGATTCTTTATTTCCTCCAATTTGGAGAGCCAACGTGTAAAAACGTCTAATTGACTTTATTAGAGAGGCCGTTTAGTTACACGTTTAATGGAAATCTTGCACGACGCACATGTAGAATTATTGCTCTCTTTGGATTCCTTCTCCGACTGAGTAAAAAGGTAAACAAAAGTGATAAGATTAAGGGCCCAAAAAGGTAAATTGATAGGTGTGCAGTTATCCCAGATATCCCGGGCCCTCGGGAAATATCATATTGTCTCTTGGAATAAAACCAATATTGAATCCCTCTCAGTAAATAACCTTTATATAATAGCATTGTATAACTGCAATATCATTAAACCAACACTCCTCCTATACAACTCTTGAGAACGATGTACAACTCCTGGATAGCGTAAACTCCTGAGCAGCGTATACAACTCTTCAACTTGATATATGGCATCATACTTTGGGTGGGATAACAAAGGATATACAATACATTTTGTTGACCGCTCATCAACCAATAAGAATTGAGTATTTCAATTGAGGTACTAACAACA